ATGCAAGATTGTAATGAAGATACAAAATATATTACAAAATCGCTAACAGTTTCGAGAAAAAAAAATCAAATAGGGACAATTTCAAACACTTTTTGCATGTCCCATAGAAATCAAGTTCAGATAACGTAATACATCATTGCAATGTACTCACATTTCATTACAGACGTGATAGATGACGGATAGTGCTATTAAAATGCCTTCGGTTGATTTTTTTTGGAAGTCTTTGCATTAGAATTTGTGGCGGTTTTCTTTTAATGTTGGTCTTTATCTGTACCACTAATAAATGTTGGTGGCATTTTGTTTTAAAGCTGTTCTTGGTGTTCCTAATAAGGCTATGTCTGTATGGCGGGTGACATGGGCATCCATTCAGAAATTCGGATAACAGTAGAGACTCACTTCACCCCTTGGGGGCAATGTATATATATGGACAAGACAAGCAGTTGTTATCTCGGATTTTCCTTGTCCGTCATTTGGGTCATTTAAATAATGTATTACATAAACTGGATACGCCATGGGGCGTATTAATTTTATAATAAAAATTAATGCTTCATTTAGATTTCACTGATAATTCTAGAATCCTGCGGAACCCCCCCCCCCCCCCCCCCCACTCCCGAAGTGCCACACACGTTCGTGAGTATGTGGGTGGTAAAAGGGCGATATTTGTGTGTGTTGAATAGCAATTGGTTCAATCTGTATGTTATGCTCTGGGGGTATTTATGCTATTACTCAGATGAAGCCGAATTATTATAAGGTAAAAAACAGTTCGGATTACAGTGCAACATGTTATCGTCTAGAGAGCTTATAAAATAGGAGAGCATTAATCATGTTCATAATTGCATGCTTTCGGCAAAATATTAGCAACTTCACATGGAACCAAATAGTTCTGATGGAAATATTGAGGTGTATTAATTATAGTATAGTCTTATAGACGTCAGTATTTTGGCTAATTTCTTTTACAATCATTATCATAATTATATTACCATAATCATGATAAGCTTATAATAGAGTCACAACAGTAGGCTAATAGTAATATACCGGAAATATAGATAGTATTTTGAACCAGAAATTACATTCACAAATGTCAATATTTGAATCAGAAGAAATCATTGTAAATCACACTATGAACATGACGGACAATGAAAGAGGACAAAATATACAGTTCCTCATTCTACCCTCAACAATTGCTGTGGTAGATAGAGGGGCATCCCTTTACTGCTATTATGTAAAAATGTGTAGAATAGGTGAATATGCATGTGACACCTGTTCTACACATGTTAACATAATAGCAGTGAAGGGATGTTCCTTTGTCTACCTCAGCAATTGTTGGGGGTAGAATGAGGAACTGTATATTTTGTCCTCTTTCTTTGTCCGTCATATTCATAGTGTCATGGAGTAAAGAGAATGCGATGCAAGGTGGCGGAGGGTTTGAATTATAACATTATATATCACCAGTTGCAAAAATGTCTTCTCCGTTCCGTGTATCGGAAGTCTGTTGATTCCTCTCTAGCTACGAATTCATTGCTAAGATATTTGGCTCGATAAAGGATGATTGATCAAGCTCGATTGAATAAATATCGAAAAAGCAGATGGTGACATTTATCCCAAATCGATGGAAAACGGATGACCTTTGAGTTAACCATTTCCCGAGTATTCCATCATCGGGTAAATGAACTTGAAATGTCACGTCAAGATTGAAGACATTTGATTTCATGTGCCCATTAAAGTTGAAAAGACATTCCTAATCCGTCTGTCTGTTTGTCTGTCTCTCTCTCTCTCTCTCTCTGTCAGTCTCTTTCCCTCTCTCTCTGTTTGAAGAGGGAGAGAAGAAAAAGAAGAAGAAGAGAGAGAGAGAGAGAGAGAGAGAGAGGAAAAAGGGAAGAGAGAGAGAGAGAGAGAGAGAGAAAGAGAGAGAGATGAAAAAAGTGGAAAAGAGGAATAGATTAAAACGTTATAAAATGAAGGATGGAGTAAACGAGAAGAGAGAGGGAGAGAGAGAGGGGAGAAAGGGAGAGAGAGGGGCAGAGGGAGAGAGAGGGAGAGAGGGAGAGAGAGTGAGGGAGAGACGGGCAGAGGGAGAGAGGGAGAGAGAGAGAGAGAGAGAGAGAGAGAAAGAGGGGGAGAGGGGAAGAAAAAAAAAGAGAGAGAGAGAGAGAGAGAATGCAGGGAAATGGGTGGGAGAGACAGACGGTCAGATAGAGGAGAGAGAGAACTTGTAGAGAGAGGGAGGAGAGAGGGGGAAGAGATGGGGACTGAATACGTAAATAAGGAGAAGCTAGGTGACTATAATTATAGAGAGAGGGTGGAGGGGGGAGGGTGGGGAGGGTGGAACACGTAGAGACAGGGAGTGACCATGAAAATAATTCCATTTCGTAGACAAGTGCATGAGATAATTAATGAGTTAAAACTTAGCCAGTGAAGGATGCATTGATAGATTATTAATGGTGAATCAACGGTTTGCTCCATCGGAAATGATGGCATGCCAATCCTTATCAATTTTTAATTCGATTTGATTCGCCTGGCTCGGAAATGTCACAATGTCAAAATCGTCTTCTAGTTTCGCTGATAAAATATTATTGATGACATTGTTGAAATTACATTGATGATACTTTATTCATCCACTCGGATGTCATTCAACTATTTGCTGATGTTAACAAATACCGGTTCTGCAGTTTTGAGTAATTGCTCATTATTCCTAACTATTATTAAATTTGAGGGTTCCACAATATTATAATTGTACAAGCATTGCTCTTTATTGGACCACTTTGTTTCCAATTCCTTCATTTTTGTGATTATAATTGATTTGTAATGTTTTGCTGGAAACATAAATACAATTGAATTGATGTTTTCCATGTTATGCTTTATTTTATTATATTCTATTAACTTTGCATGGTTTGGTTGAAATAATAATCAACATGATTACAACAATACAATGTTATCAAATTCGTCGATATTCAAACTACGATTAATGTATTATCACCGACCTACTTTGCACTGCTAAGCCTCAATTGCTGATGATCATTATTTTGATGAACACGATGAGCAATTTCCACCGTCTTTACAGAAACACACCAAACAAAAATTAGTCTATTATACTTTTGGATGGTAATCATAATCGACCTGATTATTTTCTTTGACATTAAAATGAAATATTTGGATCTCATTCCCCGGAAGTTCCTACCCCCTGCCCCCCCCCCTCCCCCCCTCCCCCCCCCCAAAAAAAAAATCCAGCTTCCTATCACGAAAGTACATGTAGTTATTACATGGCGTAAATTGCGAAGGTTGGAATGCATGATATAGGGAATTAGACGATGTGGTATACCCTTGAAGCTCGTGTTATCCTCACGATAACACCTTCACATTTCAACCTTGAAATGGTAATAGCTATTGCTTGAATGAACGACGGTAGTTTATGAAGTTTGGCCTCCCAAGGAAATAGCCTCTTACTTATTCATGACGCATAGGCCTCCTTGTTCGGGGGTTTTAATTTTTGTAGACTGAATCTTTTATCGTTCAGATGAAAAGAAAGTAACTTTTGCTGATGGGCTTGTTCTAATTCACCCGCGATGTGTCGCAGCCATGCGTTATAAGATCCTGAAGGGAATTTAAAGGCATCATCGGCCTTGGAAGGGCTGTGGTATATTCGTGAAAGCTCGTGACTCTCAAATGAGAGATCCAGGGTTAAATCCTTGATTGATGCTTACATCCTTGGTGTTTTTCTCACATTATTATGTTGACCCTCTCGACCCAGGTGTATCAAAACGGGACTGCACTACCAATAGCGACTTGCGCCCTCTACATAGCAAACGTTGCCTAAGCAGTACCCGTTGGTCCCCCATGGTGATTCCCTTTGTTGCTCATGTTTAATTACATGAGAGCTCAGTAATTTGAAGAGATAACCACCTGCCAGTGACCATGCAGGTATGTCTAACCCCTTCTGGCCAAACTAGGGCAGATAGGCTTTAAAGGGTTGATGGCAATATTAATACGGGTAATAATCATAATAATAAATGATAGTGCACATGATTCGTATAAAGCGGTCATGGCTGGCAGACTTCACCCTCCCAGTGCTCCACAATTACTTCCCCGCTAGCCTGGCTGCCACTTTGGTGCTAAAGCTTGCGAAGGAATTAGTTCCTGCCAGAGGGTCGGGTGTGTCAGATGTGGACTAATATCTAGCCAATCGACATGTTTTGGTTCCTTTATTATCCAATATCAGACACAACAAAGAGCGGCCACACTGACATCTCATAGACAATCTAAAACACAGTTAAGCTGAGGGCCTACATTGACAAAGATCACTAAATATATATTACGTCGTATCAAAACTGTAACGGAATATTTATAAAATTAAAAATTGAAGACAATACAAAACATACGATAAATAAAATGTCATTAAAATATTAAATTACATTAGTACAACTTATGTTTACAAAAAAAAAACAGATGTGCGATTATCCATTCGTATCGCAGTACATAGGTCCTGTTTACGATTTTTTTTTTTAAATCCCTGCATTACAACAGGATTGAGTACGAGAAAGGGTAAAGGGTAATTTTGAACATCTGGGGGTTTTCCTCTATCCGTCCCCCTGGAAGTCTCTCTACTACAACAGTTGACCCGTGCTTTCCATTCTTCGGAGATAAAACAATTAAAATAAGAACAACAGAGAAATAATGTTTTTCATTAAAATACAAAATTTGATTTTGGGGGATTTTGGAAAGAAAGGTGAAGAAAACAGGATGTGGACATGGCGGGAAAATCCTAAATGGCTTCAATTACAAGCTCAGGTCCTTAGGCGCCAACACATTATTATTCACCATGTCCAATTGAAGTGTGGGAACATTGATTATACAAAGATGGATTGTAATTTGAATATTATTTCTCTTGAGTATCACTATATTACTATTAGACAGACAAGTAAACCAAAAATAATATATATAACTCCACTGGTGAAAGCTAAGCTAAGATCAGAGATGGTCAGACTGTAAAACATTTTTCAATAGATGGCGCTAATACAAAATGGCGACGCCCACAGGTGAATCGAAAGATCTGCGTTTGCATTGTGAAAGTGCGACAATTTCCCAGCAAAGTGGAATCTGCAAATTGTAAGTCATTTCAAGAGAAGATATCAAGAGTCACAGTATTATGTAACTTTTTCCTTCTCACAAAATGCTTTTCAAATGTTACCAATGGATGAACTAAATTGATTGTTTGACATGGTTGATGTCATTAGTCCCGTGTGATGAAATTGATGTTGGTTCGTTATAGGACTAGATCTATGTGTAAACGTGTACAAGCATATTTGGAAGTGGTTGTTTTGTATTGTAGTGTACTCTTTTTTTTTTTTAACCAGAGCCCGCTAGTAATTTTCCTGAACTGAATCTCTCGTCGCTTATCAGCTTAGGCCCTATGTGTTTTTTAATTCAGTTACTGCAGCTATCCGTTTTGAATTTTTAGGCTAATCAACTTCGTCTTTAAAATGAGCATTATTTTAAACGGGGAAACAATTTTGGATCATTTTGATGTTGTTTTTTTTTTCTACCATAATATAGGTCTAGTCTAATTCAAGGTTGGTAGAAACGTCAAAAACTACATTTTATGATTTTCCCCAACTGATGAAAGTTTTCTGTATCATAATTCAGATGTTTGAAAGTCCAGGCCGCTTACACCTGCCCACGATGCAACGTGTCCTATTGCTCCCTCGCTTGTTACAAGAGTGAGAAACATGCCGATTGTTCAGAGTCTTTCTACAAAAACAACTTTATCCAGGCACTCAAGGACACTAAAGGAAGGTATGTTGGTCCACTAAAATATTTATTATATTTATATGATCTTAAATGGCCTTGAGTGGGATACAAGGATATATCCCTCAAATTGATGAGCTTATTTCGAAAGTCAACACACAGAGTGAAATATTCTAAAAGTGAATGTGAAAAAAAATCAGTGCTGCAGATATTATTTGTTCATACTCGCACTGTATTTCCTTTTTCTTATAAAAGCTTATGTTTGTTTTGCTAGCAGTAAGAGACTAAGACTACCTATTTGTGCAAATGGTTTCATTTATGTTAATAGGGTATTATTAACAAAGATCTTTTTCTTAGAATTTGCATGGGTTCTAGTTATCAATAATTATATAATATATAAATCTATTTACAGGGAGTCTTTCAGTAGCTTTATTATTATTTACCCTAAGCCTCCATCCTTGTACCTCTTGTATTGACTTCGATAGCTCCGAGGACAAGAAGACTGTGCTGGAGATGCTGGCCAGACTCGATGCAGAAGAAAGTGTAGATGACAGCGATGATGATGATGATGATGATGCTGATGACAATGATGAGGCTGAAAGCCTACAGAAAAGACTAGCTGGACTAGATCTTGGTAAGACAAGTTCCTTTTCCTCTGTCATCGGCTCTCTCTCTCTCTCTCTCGCTTTCTCTCTTCCACTTTGTGTGATGAACAATTAGTCTGAAAAAAAGACTCAGATATTTTCGATTCCCATGTCCTATATTACAATAAAATTAAAACCTGAAACAGTGAGATAACATAGACTGAAATAGACGCGCCAAGAAATTAGCGTTAATTATTGTTACTCATTTGTTCAGCTGTTTTGAGGTTAAAATTGATATAATTTGCATAGCATAGTCTATTGACCTTTGAACTCCATTTGAACTCTCTTTCAGTTTGGTTTTTTCACTACTGAATTGAAAATGCTTTGTATCTTCTCCCCCTTCATCTACATGCAGACAAAGAGCCGGATAAAGTTTGGGAGAAGCTGACGCCGCAGGAGAGGCAAGAGTTTGAGGAGGTCCTGCGGGCGGGAGCTTTAGGATCCATGCTGGAACAATGGATTCCCTGGTGGACAAAACATGTGAGTGATCTGCATCTAATCATCAACAAATATCTGTCATACTTGTGATTGAAGGAGTGAAGTTATACAATTTTCAAAGGTAAAGACCAATTTTGGAAATGCCCACCTTTCAAAAAATGAAATGGAATCTACCAATCATGTGAAAGAATGTTTTGACTAGTACGTGATGATACAAATTTTGCCGGGAATCCGCCTACTAATTGATATATTTGGTGAATTATCATATTGATCCGGCCATGATAGATATCGCAAATGCACTTCAACATTGAACGTTTGGGCATATATTTCTGGTTGAAGCATTGCCATCTAAACCTCTGAAGGCAATATTTGAACAATATTAAATGGATATTTGAACCCCAAACCTTTGAACCGCAATTTTACCACTACCGGTCTATACCTTTAAGTTGTGATTGATCCAAAACAAATAAAAAACTACCCGGTCTTATACCACTTACCATGTGAGCACCTCTCCCATTTGTTTTGCATTTAAATTTCATAAGTTTCAAATTATTCAAATGAAAGTATTTAGTTTAACCTGTAGCCTAGATGTTTTATCGCACCTATCTTTTTACAAATCCTTCTATTAAAATATTGATATATTCTTCCATCAACAACAGCGAAAATATAAATATATGAAGTATTCATTAGATGATACATAGGTGATGTAAGTGTTCATTATTCCCAGAGACTCAAACTTTTGTTTGATGACTTACAAATTTAAACATTCATAATTTTCTTATCCTTTATTGGATTTACTCAAGCATTCACTGAGTTAGTCCTCAAATCTTTTCGGCCATGCTTCTCTCTGTGTCTCTCTCCCCCCTCTCTCTCTCTCTCTCTCTCTCTCCCTCTCAGTCTACATGTATGTTTGTTTGTTGTTTGTACGCATTTACTTAAATTAACTTTATAGTAGGATACTGAGACTTACACTTTACTTTAAACGTTCATTCCCATTTCTGTTTTAATGAACTTATCTCCAGGACAGAGAACTCATCAGTGATATGGGGGAGGATGCACAGAAGAAGGAAGTGCAAAAGGTCACCACCTCTGACCCACCCAAGCTGCTAGGCCCTGTCCCCAGACTCTCTGAGCTACTCAAGTCACCACCATCACCCCTCCTTGTCTTCAATATGATTAACGTTCTGTATCCTTTGAGTTTTATCAACTGGTTATGAAAATATAGTCTTAGTTTACTAACGGGACGTTGAGGAGTATCCCAGAAGAAGAAGAACAAGCTGATTCTTGAGCGATTAATTTTTTTTATTTTTGTAAGTATATGTGTCTCCAAAAACATTGTATGTGTGATGAAGGTCCATTAAAGAAGTTTTGGAAATAAACTAATATCATGGAAGAAAAAAAGTTAAATTGATTAGAAACATCTGTTTCCTTTAGGTCATGAAAGAATGAACAGAAGCAAAATCGTTGTGTCTCTGACATCTTCAACTTTAAAGGTAAAGACCAGTATTGGAAACGCCCCAATTTAAAAAATTGAAATGGAACCTCTCATTACCAATCATGTGAAAGAATATGTTTTGACCAATACATGATGATAAAAAAATTGCCGGGAAACCGCCTACTAATTCATATATTTGGTAAATTTTTTTCTCTCATGGTCTGTGAGAGATATAGGGTAGTCCCATATACATCTTTCTGTGTATAGTGCTTGTAACTTTACGAAGAATGGGCCAAATTTCTTATCATTTTGATGATTCCAGAACCTTGCAGATGCTAGATGCTAGATGATCAACGTTTTCTGATCGATTCCACAATGTTTCTTTCACAATGCAATCTCATTACCATAACTGGTCTTTACCTTTAAAATTGGTTAGTCTGATATTTTACCACTTTCATATTTAACTCTGACATTTGTACCTGTGACCGATATAGCTCTGACATACTTGTGATATTTTTACACCGAACCAAAGCAACCAAGTAACTATTTGATAGCTACACTACTATCCTTAACCCATCCGTCTCAGATATTGCTATGCATTTGTTGTTAGGTTTTACAATGGATCGCACATGGAGATACCACTACATGCTGTCCAGGTATGAAACCAAATTCTATCTTTTATGCTTTTGTCAAACTATCAGGTAAAGCTCAAGCCAGAGGGCCAGATAAGACAAATTTATAAAAAAAGACTAAAACTCTTGTTGATAGATTTATAAAGAAGTATTTCATTAAAGCGGGACTGCACTACTTGTAGCTACTTGCCCCCTCTATATAGCAAACAATGCCTAAGTGGTACCTGTTGGTCCCCCGTGATCCCCTATTTCGTATGTTAATTGAGAGCTGATTTGATGAGATAACCACCTGTCAGTGACCACGCAGGGAGGTCTTATCCCTCCTGGCCAAACTAGTGTAGATAGGCTTTAAGTTCTTAAAATTACCTGTGTACTTCACTCAATGTAATACATAACTGACACTATTTTAACAGGAGCATGAAAAAGCAAACAAATTAATTTTCACTTTACTTTTATCTGGTTGTCAGGAAAGCATTTTATGATACAGTCAAACCTGCTTTAGTGACCACCTGTCTTTTTTTGTTTCCCTTGAAAATGGTTTCTCATCGAAACATGTACTAAAGGAACCTGTCTACAGGACCACTTTTTATGTTTCCCTTGGGCGGTGGCTATAGACAGGTTTGACTGTATCTACAATATGATGATTTTATATTGTGTATAGTTTTTCTTTACTTTTATCCCACAATGCATCAGAGCTTTCTGGAGGTGTGTCCTGGGATGTCAGCTAATGTCAGTTTTTCGTCAACAGAGGACGCTCTTCAAAGTGCAGTACATACCATTACACAGGCAAGCAAAGAGTACTTAATTTCAGATTATGCTGATGATTAATAACTGTTAAGCTTGAAAAACAAATTTGTCTTTTGTGTTTTAGTTCAGTTTGCAAAAGTATGCCTGGCAGAAAATGCACAGTTTTTAAAAGCACGAAATTTCATATACCAGTAAATTTGGCTTTTTTTATAGGTCAAGTTTCAGGATGTTCACTCAGAAAATCTGAATGAAGCAATTTCACTTCATGTCATGTAACTTTGTTGGCCACTGTTCATTGTGCTGTCCTATTGACACACATTTTGTTCCATTTGATGACTGCTGTTGAACTTCATACTCAATTTCAATACTGATGCAATACTTCATGCTAGACTTGTACATCTTTACCGATGAAAAGATTGATTGTTTTAAAGTTCTGATTGCTCTGAAATGTAAGAATGCCCCCAGAATATCATAAGGACTTATTCACTTTAAAAACCTCGTAGAAACAAACAGTAATCTGTTTAAAGCTACCATTTCCTTGAAAACATTTACAGACACACCTTGGTTTTGTCTTTGCTATATCTCCATTTTTTACATTTTCTTATCTTTTGTAATCATGGATGATATCATGATAAAGGCATCGTTTAATAATGTTTCCAGTTTTACAAATCTAAGATGCATGTGACATGAAAAACCTCAAAAAAGTAAAAATATTGAGTGACAGGTTTTACAATACTCATTTTCCCCAATAGACTGTAGTGTTATAAAAACCATTCCAAACATTTTTTGAATTTTCTATTTTTAATCATAAATATCTTGATAATCAGACAGGTGATCAGCTTGTAAAAGTCATGGGATTCCTGACTGATCCAAAGGTTTATAATTATGATTGCAGCATGAGCAAAATCCAGGATTTTGTTTAGAATCTGAGGCAAAGATACCCAATCCCTTTAAAAACCTCATAGAAAAATACAGTAATCTGTTTAAAGCTGCCAGTTCCTTGAAAACATTTACAGACACACCTTTGTTCTTTTTTTCTTTTTTAATATATCTACATTTTACATTTTCTCATCCTTGGTGTTCGTAGATGATCATGATATCAGCATCCTAGTGATATACTTGCAATGTGTTTTTTAAATAAATGCTGTGCAAAATTTCCTATTATTATTGATAATTTTTAATGATTATTTGATGTGTTCCTATAGATGAAATCTGTCCCAAGTGAAAGGAAACATCTAGTTTCTCTCATCCAAGATGTCGTCCATATAATGCTCGGTAGGAGCAAGTCATCTCCATCCCTCTATGTGGAGTCTGCATTGTCTGATCTTCATCAACTTCTAAAACGGGCAAAGCTCATATACAAAGGTACGTTTCATTCAAACGTATGGAGATCATTCAATTTTGGCTTTCATGATTCCTCACTTCCTTTTATCTTATGTTGATAATGAACAAACATGTACATACTTTTGATGTTTTTTAAAAGAGAGTGTAATAAATGAAATAAAATGTATAGTTATGGTAGGGGGCCGGTTCAACTAATATGAACAAAATTCTACTTACATTTACACACAGGTTACCAGCCCAGCACAACACCTTTTGCTTTATGTAGGCCTAGTGTATGTAGTAAACAAAACATAATTTGAAGTTGTATCCAGAATTTGTTTCTCTATTGCTTCTTGTCATTTTGGTCACCTGGGGGGGGGGGGGGGGGGTTTTCACAAAGATCCTAAGTAGAACTTAACTCTAAGTTGGACTTAAAAATTATGGACAGCCATTAGCATCTTTGAAAATATTTGGTAAAAATATTTTTGAAAGGCATAAAATGTTTATTCAAATCATTCATATTTTCTATCATCAAGGAGATTTCTTATTCTTGTTGTGGAATTTATAAAATGTCTAAAATACTTGAATTTCTGCTTTTGAGTATATTTCATTTTAAGGCTCCAATGGCTGTCCATAATTTTTAAGTCAAACTTAGTGTTAAGTTCTACTTAGGATCTTTGTGAAACACCCCCCTGGACCTGGACGATGTTCAGGTCCCTGTTGCCTAAAATTTTGCCATTAAAGGTAACTTCCATGGAAACCTTGATTTGATTAGCTATTGAGTGATATTGCCTTGGTAGTTTAATATTGATTGCAAAGTTACAATCAGTAGTAAGTTTGATGCATTGGGGGCCCAGCTATATTTTGCAGATTTTCTCGGTCTTCTTCTTTACAGAAACTTCAAACAAAATTTGTGTGAATTAATATTTGTTGAATCACGAATTTGAATTTCCTTCTTGATCTTGTAGTCCCAGAATCAACTCGGTCAGATATAAAGAAGTCCAAATCGGCGATGTTTCTTGCTAAGAAGAAGGTGACCTTTTACCTGGCATGGATCAGAGAAAACCCGGAAGCCTTGAAGATGAAAGCAGCGGAAGTTAAACTTTTGCACAGTAAGTATACAGGAATATATCTGTCATATCATATGTACATGATTATAAGGAAATAAGACTGAATTCGAATATTGAGCAGAAGTTATATGGCAGTAGTTTTGTTCTTTTTTTTTTAAAGTAGAAAGAAAGGGAAAATAAAATCACAAAGGTAGTAAAGTACTTTCAAGATGAGATGATCCAAGTACCGGTATGATTATCTAGCTGCTTCCTGATAGGTCCCCCCCCCCCCCCCAACACACCTTTACTCTGCAGGTTTATAAGAAGTGTACAATATTTTATTTATTTTGTGTTTCCTCCCCTACTCTATACCTTTATTTACCTTCTTGACGGTCCCCTCTTTTTATCATTCTTTTTCCACTTCCCCATTGTCCCCATCATTCTATTTGTATGCCTCCGCCCATTGAGGTGGTGCTGCAGGCATTCTGTTTTGGGGTTTTGGGTATGTCCGTTCGTTCGTCTGTCCCGCTTTTTTGTTTAATAACGTGAAATCTCAAGAGCCACTTCAGGTATGAACTTCAAACTTGGTGATAGTATGTTTTTATGCCTCCGCCACCGAAGGTGGTGCCGGAGGCATCATGTTTTCGGGTTGTCCGTCCGTACGTCCGTACGTCCGTACGTCCGTCCGTCCGTCCCGTTTGACCGTTATCACAATATCTCAAGAACCATTTAAGATTTAAACTTAAGACTCGGGAATAGTATTTATCACCATAGGAAGACGATCTGATTAGATTTTGGAGTACGTAGGTCAAAGGTCACAGGTCACAGAGGTCAACTTATGAAATTCCTTGTATTGAGTTTGTTAGCGCGATATCTCAAGAACCATTTGAGATTTAAACTTCAAACTTAAGGATAGTATGTATCACCATAGGAAGACGATCTGATTAGATTTTGGAGCACGTATGTCAAAGGTCAAGGGTCACAGAGGTCAACTTATGAAATTCCATACATTGAGATTGTTATCATGATATCTCAAGAACCACTGGAGATTTAAACTTCAAACTTAGTGATAGTGTGTATCACTATAGGAAAACAATCTGATTACATTTTGGAGCACGTAGGTCAAAGGTCAAAGGTCACAGGGCTCATTATGTATGCAAAAACAGCTTGTGATCGCGTTATCTGAACAACCGATTGATGGATTCCTGCCAAACTTTGGTCATGTATGTATCTTGCAGAGCTGATGAACTGATTAGATTTTGGGGTCACGAGGTCAAAGGTCAAAGGTCACAGGGCTCATTATGTATGCAAAAACAGCTTGTGATCGCGTTATCTGAAGAACCGATTGATGGATTCCTGCCAAACTTTGGTCATGTATGTATCTTGCAAAGCCAATGAACTGATTAGATTTTGGGGTCACGAGGTCAAAGGTCACAGCGCACATTATGTATGCAAAAACAGCTCGTGATCGCGTTATCTGAACAACCGATTGATGGATTCCTGCCAAACTTTGGTCATGTATGTTACTTGCAGAGCTGATGAACTGATTAGATTTTGGGGTCATGAGGTAAAGGTCAAGGTCATGTGGCTCATTATGTATGCAAAAATAGCTTGTGATCGTATTATCATTAGAACAGATTGATGGATTCCTGCCAAACTTAGATCATTTATGTATCTTACAGAGCCAATGAATGGTTCATAAGATCAAAGGTCATGGGCTCATTATGTATGCAAAAATAGCTTGTGGACGCATTCTCATTAGAACTGACAGATGGATTACTATTTAACTCAGGAAATCTTGCAGAGCCAATGAACTGAGTAGATTTTAGGGTCATGAGGTCAAAGATCAAAGGGTCATATATGTTTATGAGAAATTGCTTGTAATCACGATATTCTGAGAACATGTTAATGGATTACAATTGAACTTGAATTTGAAAAATTTCTTCCGTTTCGGTTTGTAAAATTGCTCTATGACGGAGGCATCATTTTCGACTGCGCGCAGTCGAATTCCATCTAGTTTTCTTATCATTTTTTAATACTCTCTCTGTTTCCAGGATCCATGGAGAGAGACTTGCAGAAGCATGAGCAGGTGAAGGCTGGAGTCGAGAAGAATCTTGCAGCTGTACGGCCGGGACAAAGCTCCAAGCTCATCGAAGAAATCGGCTGAAAACTACATCTAATACACAATACAATCACTGGTAGTCCATCGATAACCGTGACGACATGATAAAACCCTTAAGTGTTTTCTTACATGGCTCCACATTCCAATTCTGCTGGCACTGCAGAAGCCTTATATACATTTAGTGTATTCATGGATAATATCATGACACTCACATAGAGGCTGAAAGCCTGTCTGCACTAGTTTGGCAAGGAGGGATAAGACCTCCCTGCAAGGTAACTGACAGGTGGTTATCTTATCAAATCAGCTCTCAATAAACATAAGAAAAATAGATCATGGCGGATCACATGGCGGATCAACGGCTACCGCTTAGGCATTGTTTGCTTTATAGAGTGCTCAAGTAGCTACAAGTACTGAATTAGTGCAGTCCCGCTTGAAGACTAAGATACCTGATGTAATGCCAAGACTTCATGTCAAAGTTTCCATCCAACCTGGAGCAAAGTGCCTTGTTTTCAGCTCAGAAGCAGTTTGGTATGATATTTGTAACGTGATAGCGGGAAACCATGAATAAGGTGTCAATCTGACCATAGATCAATAGAGAATAGAGGCGACTTCTTTGAATTATTGTAATTGAATCTATATTCAGGAGTGAGAAAATTGCCAGTTTGTTGGTAAAACATGAGTTTTTAACCTTTCAATATAAATGCGCAATTTTCCTGTAATGTAACTTTGATATTTTGTGCCATTGTTAACACCACAGAAATGGTCTTTGTTGAATGGTTAGTTCTATAAACAACAAAAAGATAATAGATACAAAATTAAATTCTGTTATGGCAAGTGGCCCATCAGATAAATGTGGTCTGAAAAATAAGCTCATCAAGTTGTGGGTATTTACCTGTGTATGAAAAGAGATGTCAGGCTACAAATATGCCTATCTATCAAGGTGTTCTTTTGATAAGCAGTCCTGAGCAATCAAATGAAAATATGTTAATCAGCACACATCATGTTTCTTTAAGATAAATAAAGAATATTTTCACAAAAATACACTTATCTTAATGTGCTTTTGTTACAGTCTTGGGTTTGTATTGTTATTGAGCTGAAACCACCAAGGATAACTTTGAAAATTACAGTTAGGGTTTTGCCCACCTTTTTTAATATTTACAGGGAGCAGTTCTTTGGTAATATACACACAATTGAGGATTTTAAAAATGTATCTATCACTCGTAATTCTGTCCTCTTTTTGTATCCCTTTTCCCCCAATTTCTCTTTTCATAAAGCTCTCCTTCTTTCCTCATACTCTTGATTTCTCCCTTTCCCTCCATTCTCTCCTTCAATCTCTCGTCCCCTCCCACAAACATTTTTTTCATTTTCTTCTTTCCTAACACTCTTTCTATACAATTTGTACTCTTTTATATTTTCCCTACCAGTCTCATTCCCCTCTTCCCCTTTTATAACAATCATGTAGACTCAAAATAATAACTACCGTACTACAAAAAGGAATGAATTCAGTTTCCTTTATTTGTTCTTTCGAACGAACAGCACATAAAACTCTTTGTTTACACTCAGAGCTAATGCCCTCCGATAAAAACACAGATGTGAAGGGCTACCAAATTAATCAATTTGATATAATTCAGACAAATGGAATCGTGTCGCAAAGTCTCCAGCATAAAATGTCTTCTTCTTTTTCAAACGATGTGCTCATGAAATGCAAATAGTTGTATTACTATAAATATCTTTGATTTAATACATTTCACGTCACACACTAGAAGAACTGCGACATGAGGACATGCACAAAATGCATGACATTTGAGGCTGTATTTCAATCTGCACCTAACATCACAATAGGTTATGAACAGTTGAATGAGAATATGTGCTTTCAAATTCCAATAATTCCTAAAACTCTTGAATGACAAGTGTATTTACAGCATTTACATTAGAGAAATTGTTGGAGAGAGAAGAAATTATGTAAGAAACATAAGGTAATCTGCATCATTTGAAATTAATCAAGATTTCTATGATATTTTCTTATGATTTGCTAATTTCCAATCCCCGTCACAAAGCTCATTAGGTTAAAGTGATAATGACACAAATGGGTCAGGATTTAGGAGTTACTTTCACTATTTACAATATGTTAAATTGAGGTAAAATACGAATAAAAGATTCAGTAAATGAAAACTGATCTCAATAATTGTTAATTTCATCTTCAAAATAGAGGAGCTTGCAGACAAACTATTGCCATGTGATAATAAGGATCATTCCATCTGATTATTACAATGTGTATCTCAATATCCCCCACCTCCCTGGCAATAAAGAATACAGTTGATAGCATATGCAGATGGCATACTTATTGCCATCAATAAAGCAAACTCTTGGGAGCAACCTTGTGGCTCCTTGTTACCCCCCCCCCCCCCCCCCACTTCCTTAATTGGGGTGATGTGTGCTACGGTGCGTGTGAGGCAGGTTGTTTATCGATCCACTTCTCCAAACACAACATCCAATGTACCTAAAAAACAGAGATAGAGATGGGAAGATCAAATCAAATGCTTTGGAGAGGAAAAGTACGTTCATTACAATATGGTTAAAATTGACAATGGTGACATTTTAATTTATTTTATTCAAATCATTTGTTCAGGACTGCAAGATCACTTGAAGGACTGTTTTACACCTTGGTCCCGACATTGAAAATCAACATCAGAAATGTCACAAATATCAAGAATACGAATGATTCAGTAAAGTTAGAATGATTCTGTGATAAATGGGGGAAATATTCACTACCGGTATGTGGTTGACAACGTGATTATAAGTGACATGTCGCAAGAGTTGTGGTGGTCTGTATAGGATTCTCTGCACTGATCTGTAATGACAGTTGTACGACACTTGCTCCTGCAACAATTGCTCTGTGGTAATTTCCAATACTAACAGAACTCAAACCCTGAACCCCCTATCCGTAACACAAATCCAAACATTAAACCCAATCACAAGCCTAGTCTTAACCCTAATGCTAACCTAAACCCTGATTGCAACTCTATCCCTATCTCTTACCCTATACTTGTGATAAAATAGAGCCCACAGCAATAGGCAAGTTTTTTAATGTAACCAAATTTAATGCATACATCTTTGTATAGTGGCTTGATACAGATTATTTCATTCACCTGTTACATATAATTGTATTTCAATAGTCATTGTGTAAATTGCATATATTACATGCTGTTAGGTAGGGCAAGACATTTTGTTTGTCCTACCTACCAACAACTTAAGTATGTTATTTGCAATCTGACTATTGAAATATAATTAATTATCAAAACAAATTCAAAAACTTTTTGCATCAAGGCACTTCACAAAGACGTACATATTGAATTTGCTTACATTAACCCATTAGCAACTATAGATTTTGTAAAAATGGCCTATTTCTCACTGGAAGATGTTGCAATATTGCTCTCATTTTGACATTGTTATCACGGTAGACCCTAAAACGGATACTATAGTGCGTTATAAACGGAGGGAAACGGACAGGCGGTTCAGTGAGTAAAAGGAGGGGGAGTTTCAGGCGGTTTAGTTGCTAATGGGTTAAGAAAATAGCCTATTGTCGGGGGGGCATATTTCACATCGCACCATGCATGCTTACCGATGATTGCTACGACATCAGCCAACATGTGACCCTTGCAGACCTTGTCCAATCCAGCTAGATGGAGAAACCCTGGTGCTCGGATCTTACAGCGGTACGGCTTGCTGGAGCCATCCGATACCATGTATACACCAAACTCACCCTGCCAAAGAAATCACATAGTCAGTCAAAAAAGGATCCAGGGGGGTGTTTCACTAAGATCCTAAGTTGACCTTATCTCTGAGTTGGACGTAAACACTATAGAGAGCCATTTGTAGCGATAAGATGAAATATATTCAAAAGCAAAAAGTCAAGAATTTTAGACTTCATAAATCCACACCAAGAACACAAAATCTCCTTGATAATATAAAATATGAATGATTTGAATCAACATTTTATGCCTTTTAAAATAACTTTTACAAAATATTTTCAGAGATGCCAACGGCTTTCCATAATGTCCAACTTAGAGCTAAGTTCACCTTAGGATCTTTGTGAAACACCCCCCCCCCCCCCAGAAATGGTAATGCTTTACATTTCATTGTAATGTTTCCTCAGAAGGATGAACAGAAATGGAAATCTGTCAATAAGTTGTTAAGATGTGAATGCTTCAATTTTTTTCTAATATTTCCTGAAGATATTTTATTAGCATGGCTTGGTTTGCGCCATTCGATCCAAAGTTTACCCCAAACTCACTCTGTAAAAAGAAATCAAATACTGTAGTCAGTCATAAATATCCTGTATTGGTATCATTTGTACACAAAAAGAAGGGAAATAAATGTATAAATAAAGTATGCGACCCAGGTATGAATTTGAATCTGGGCCCCGTTTCATAAAACTTGTTATCAATTACTGTAATAAGCTGCTGAAATCATGGCATCTGATTGGCCGAGAGCTAATTTGTCATAGAATTTTTAGCATTGGTTATCAATAACAAGTTTTATAAGACAGGGTCCTGGGGGCATTTCACAAAGCCTTTTTTCAATCACAAATAACAAAAATCAGTAACAAATCCGCTGATTACCAATCAGAAGCAAGGATTTCAGTAGCTTATAACACAAATTGTCATTTGTCACTGGTGACAAGATTTGCGAGACAAAAACTAGGCAATGGGTCACAACTCACCTTGGGTGCCTCAATAGCGGTGTATGTAGCACCTGGTGGGACTTGGAAACCCTGGGTGAAATGCTTGAAATGGTGGATCAGGGATTCCATCGAGTCCTGGAGATAGAAGAATGGCATAAGTGGTTCAGATGACTTGTGACTGATTGATTAGTAAAATGGTCAACTAAGATGCTTGAAGCCCATCTGTACAAGTTTACAGAAGGGATTAGACCACCCTGCAAGGTCACTGACAGGTGGTTATCTCATCAAATAAGCTCTCACTTAACATAAGAAAAAGAGGATCATGGGGGACCAATGGTCACCGATTAGGCATTGTTTGCTATATAGAGGGCGCAAGTAGCTATAAGTAGTGCAGTGGGGATTTAAAGACAGAGCTAATAAATGTAAGCAACATGGAACTGGAAATAATGTGGAGCAGCTGGTTCTCTTGACTTGTAACAATGAGAAAATTAATTTGTATCCTTTCTCAGGGACATAAGTCATGTCCTAAGTTGTCTCTCTATATAAAACTAGGAATAGAAAAATAAATGTGCCAGTATCCCTGCAAGAGTTAACGTCAGTCCGACGCTATCCTGATTATCATCACCATCATCACCACCACCGTCATCATCATCATCACCACCACCATCATCATCTTCATCATCTTCATCATCACCACCACTACAACTACTTTCATCTTTCTTCTTCACATTCTCCAGCTCACCTTCATTTCTGCCCTGCCTGGTGGACTGATCTTATGGTCATCAACCTTGATCTCCCCTTCCGGCATCTCGTTCAGACACTGATGGACGATCCTAAGACTCTGCCTCATCTCCTCCACACGGCATAGATACCTACAAAGAACAGAGCAAAACAATACTAGATGAACTTTCCTTCAAGTACAGTCAAACCTGCTTTAATGACTAACTGTCTAGAAAGACAACATTTTTTGTTAGCATTGAAAATGGTTTCTCATTGAAAGATGTACTAAAGGAACCCGTCTTCAAAGACCACTTTTTGTGTTTCCCTTGGGCGGTCCCTACAGACAGGTTTGACTGTACCTAACAGATGCACCAACACCATTAAAGGTAGCAAATTGCATACAAAAACACTCATTATCCTTCATATTCAAAAAGGTCATGGATTGTGGAGTCTGACACCACAGGACATTGTATTATCAAGACTACCAAGGAAATGACAAACAATGCTTTCATTCTTGAGCTTGTAATAACTAAATATAACTGTCATAGAAATCTCTATTAGGCCATTTAAGGATATCAATTTCATCTTTTCATAGTTAACGTATGGATTTGGATGATTTAATGTATAGATGATCCCTATGAAAATAGGGAGAGGAGAGAAGAGGGAGAGAGGAGAAGAGGGGAAGAGATGCCACAAAAAAAAACAGCCTGAGTATCCTAAAAACTCGTTACTACCACTGGCCCATCGGCCTCGGGCAGGTAAAATTTCAGAAAAATGTTTGCTCTTTCATTAAAATTTAAAGAGAAAATTGTAAAGCAAAGTTTTTGTTGGGGTGGCAGGGTTTATTTATACATGTTTCTATGCGATTCCGCTGTTTTTATGGGTTTAAAAAAATAAAAAATATTTTTTTTTTTTTTTTTCAAAATTGTATTTTAAGATTTGAAGATCGTATTTCACTCTTATTATCGTACTAAATACGATTTAATCGTACCTGTTGGCATCTCTGGAAGGGGAGAAGAGGGGAAGGGGAAAAAGGGGGAGGAAAGAAAGGGGGAGATCGGGCAGGTATGCTCACTATACCTACCTATCATAGCAATCTCCCTTGGATCCTATTGGGATATCAAAGTTCATCTTCTCGTAGCCGTCGTACGGCTGGACCTTACGCAAGTCCCACTTGATGCCCGAGCCGCGGAGCATGACACCGCTGAAGCCATAGTTGAGTGCGTCCTCTGCCGTTACCACACCGATATCAACGGTGCGGTCCTTCCAGATACGATTGTTGGTCAACATCTGTTATGGAGTAACATAAGACCAGGGGGGGTGTTTCACAAAGAGTTAAGTTTGATATAAAGTCGCACTTAAATTCCTAGTAGCGTGCGGTATATGACACACCTCGCATTGGTCAGATCATGCTCAGGGGACGCGCGCTATTGGGTAATCTACAAATGAGATTACGCGTTTAATACCGTATGCACATTGGCACTTACACATGACCTTAAGTCAAACTTAACTCTTTGTGAAACACCCATCAGGATATCTAGCCTGTCATGGAAACGTACAACCCTTTCTCCCTAACCCCGAAACAAATTCCAGGATCACTAAAAGAGGTCTTTGACACTCTAAAAGCCACAATGACCATCATCCAATGAATACCCTATTCATTCATAAGACAAAATACAAGAGATTTACCACTTTTTTTGCGAATAAATTTCCCTATTTTACCCCTTCATTTGAATTTTCCCTAAGTATACAAAAGGGTACTGATTTCCCATATCCATTTCTTGATTTCAAGAATAGCTGGAACCTGGAGGACTTTAATGTTAAAAGGACAATAGGTCACTCCACTATTGACTCCCCAATTCTCTTGGCAGCATCGTATTTCCTTGAATATTCCCCCCCCCCCCCCCCCCCCCGCCCTCCCCTACCCACTAAATAATATCATGTACATGTATCTGAAATGGGAATAAAGAATAGGTACATATATCAATTATCATACATGGCAGGGGAAATGAAGCATCTTTTATGGAAATTTATACTTTTGCATTTGCTCAAAGATAAAGTTGAATACTGGTCATGCGATTGCATTATGAACATAATTGTCTGGAAGCAATTGGAAAAAGTTGATTATGTACATTCAATAGCGGAATATTATGTAGCACAGAAGACTACTGTCAGGTTTTGGACTTATAGAAATGAAAAGAAATGGTCTCAGTCTTGCTGAAAATCACATGCTCAGCATACATATAGGTATATGGGACTTGACAAACATGTAGCCTGAAAGTGGGGTCCAAACTTTTAAGCAATTTCCCATCATAACTTCAAATTTGTCAGTATTAGACAAGCAATTCTCTTCAGGAAACATTCCTACTATGATATTCTTCCAAACTGACATTTATTCAATGAGAAAGATCTCAAAGTGCTTTTCATCTTTACCAGGGTTTTTTTTCACAAAGATCGTAAGTCAAACTTATCTTTTATTATTAACATTATGGAGAGCCATTTGTAGCCTTAAAATAAAATATATCAAAAAGAAAAAATTCAAGATCAAGAACATGAAATCTCCTTGATAATAGAAAATATGAACGATTTTACAATAACCTTTACACAATATTTTCAAAGATGCTAACAGCTTTCCATAAGTCCAACTTAGAGATAAGTTCAACATCTGATCTTTGTGAAACACCCTGACCCCCACTTCCTCTTTTATTTTAGGGTAAACATCAACAGTTGTCATTATTTCTTACCTCCTCTAGCTCATCAATTCGAATTGAGAAGTTCTTGATGAAGTCATACATGTCATCGAGAAACCCAAGGGGAAGATCCTATGATAAGACAAAAGTGATTACAATTAGGGGCAACATTTTACAGAATTGTTATAACAAAATACTGAAGTCTGGTTTCATTGGAGAATTTATCAGGAAATATTTTTGCAAAACATGCACAGAGGTGTCCTAGTCCAGTGGTTGAAGCACTTGACTTGAAATGCAAAGGTTGTGCGTTCGATCCCGACATGGCATTAATCTCCATTTAGCACATTTCCTTCAGTGAATCCATTTTTTGTTGGAAATATTAAACTATTCTGATAGGGTATATTTTTGTGCTTTAAATCTTGTTAAAGAAATAACCAATATTAATGAAAGCGTTTCATAGACTAAGTTACTGAAGAAAAAATTATAAACAATTTCCAGATACATCCCACCTGATACACTTTTGACCTTAAAGGTATTTCAAAGTTTTGGTAAGGGGTCATGAATTTGGTTCAAATGAACATATTAGAAGCCTATTCGATTTTACCTTCAATGATCAAATTCAATGATCATTGTCGCGGTTGAAATTGAGTATAAAGTAATGAAATTGTAAAAAATAAACTCTTTATGTTGTATAGCGCCCTCTCCAGACTGATATTACTTTAGCTCTAAAACAATCTTTCTTGACTACAATTGACCTAATTGCTATTCCCGTTTGGAAATAATATATCAGAACTGCATATTCTAAGATTTTCATGATCACAGCTACCATGGAATGGCCTTAGGTGCTATTTGAAATATTTGGAAAATTTTGATTATTCAATTTATTGAAAGCAGAAGTGTTTTAGGGGCTGAATTTTCTAGTGCTTATATTACATCTACAGGGGCATCCAAATATTTCAACATTTAAAGCAATTACTATCAATCCAATTTTCAAAATTTTCTGAAACTTTGCATTACCTTTAATGTGCAAACCAACCTGCCAATAAAAAGCTTCACCTTTTTCCAATAAATGGTGAAAAGTCAACCAAGATGAAAGTACCGGTAGCCGAAAACAAGGAGATTATTTTAATGTCCTTACCTGTGAAACACCACCAGGTCTGACGTAAGCTGCATGCATGCGTGCTCCACATACACGCTCATACAACTCAAAAGTCTGGAAATAAAAAAAGAAATGAGAATATTTGTAATCAATGTCATAAAATCATAACTGAAAGCGAATCTTTGGCCCACATGTATTTATGTATGCAAATCTCCTCAACATACATACTCATAGAGCTCAAAAGTCTGTAACTTTATAAATAATATCATTGGAAATGGTGTTGTGCTACATGTATAAGCTCTTTGTTTGTAGAAGACAATCTGTTGAGTATATCTTAGTACAATCTCAAATAAACAAACAAAGTATGAATATATATAGATACACATCCCTTGATAATATAAAGAGAAACTCTTTGATTCAGAATAATAAGTAATCTTAGCATGTTTTGTTTGCATTTGAATGATACACTATTGATTCAACTTAATCAGGACAGCATTGAACACTAACCTGAATATTTTTCAAATTCTTCAAATCAAGACCTGGGGCCTGTTTCATAAAAACTTTTTATCTATAACAAATGCTAAATTTCTATGACAAATTTGGTCTCAGCCAATCACATGCCATGATTTCAGTAGCTTATTAACAGTAGCTTGTAACTTGTTATTGATGTCAAGTTTTATGAAACGGGGCCCTGAAAGATTGTTCATTTAAGTTTAAATCAAGAAAAATTGTCTCCTTTACACCAGTAAAGACATAACAACATAAAAACACTGAGACTACACATTTAAGGATGATTAGATGGGAATGTGAACACACCTTCTCTCTCTCCTCAAAGAGCCAGAAGAATGGAGTCATGGCTCCGATGTCCAGGGCGTGCGTTCCCACGGCCATGATGTGATTGGCGATCCTCGTCAGCTCACCCATCATGACTGAGTGAGAGAAGAAATGGAAGGGGCGATTACATGTGGTTGTTCAATGAAGTCTTTATAAACGCAAGGCTAAGGTACACTGCACCTCTATAATGTTTGGTGTTCTTAGAGACTGTTATCCAACATCGTCACCTCCCCCATTGCTCTTTCTCTCACTCTCTGCTTATCAATATTCTGTGACTGTATTTTGGGTGCATGCTTCTGTCTTGCTGTCCTCCCACCTTTTTGTCTTTCTCTCCCATCTTGTAATTACCTCTTTCTCTATCATAAATATCTCACTTTCTTTCTGGTCTCTTTTATTTTCCCATCTCTCTCTATCTCTCTCTCTCTCTCACACACTCTCTCACTCTCTCTCTCTCTCTCACTTTACATGCAATGTATAAGCTCATTAGGATTATTACTAGGGTATGTGATGGTAATGGTGCTGGAGGCATTTGCACCAGCAGCGATAAGGCAGTACCACTAGTACACTGAAAGTAAAATTATGAGAAGCAATTAACTGTTTATAGTCTATATAACTCTAGTTCCCCAATCACAATTTTGTTAAGTCTCAGGCAGAAGCGTGGAATTGAATTCAAGTGGTTTATTAATAAAATTTCACTTCTTAATTTTTTTTCCAGGGTAAAATGACAAAAAGATATCATCAAAATGATAAAATAGGTACGCATACAATGGTAGAAGAAAATGATAATGAAATAATACATATTTAACTAGATATTCAAATTACTAGATACCGGTACAAGAAATAATGGCCATCATGACCAAGTCACTGGACACTTCAAAATCTAAAACACTACATCTTCAGTTCGGTTCACTTTTACCTTTCATTTCCAACGGAACAGTAATTTTGACAAGAAATCTAATATACACAATTCAACATTTAATAATATAATACATTTTACATGGTTTAAAGTTATGAAATAGAAAGTATACATAAATATTCATTAAAATGTTTTTTTTAAAGTTTTTTTTGGCTTACCCCTGATGTACTTGGCCCTCTCTGGGACTGTGATGTTGAGCATCTTCTCGACAGCGAGGGAGTATGCTTGCTCGTTACACATCATAGAGACGTAATCAAGCCGGTCAAAGTAGGGCAGGGCCTGCATGTACGTCTTGTATTCAATCAGCTTCTCAGTACCTCGGTGAAGGAGACCGATGTGAGGGTCACATCGGACTATACTCTGTAGAGATGGAAAAAAAAGAAGAGAGCTTGTGTCAATAATGATACTGCTACTACAATTGCTATTTATGATGATGATGATGATGATGATAATTATGCTGTTGACGATACTTATATTACAGGAGATGAAGAAGAATAAGAAAAAGAATAACAACACAAAAAACAAAAAGAGGAAGAGGAGGAAGCCAGCATGCAATTCTTGTATATTGGTTATGATTTTTGGACACTGGAACAAAATGTAATACCATTGATGTCATGTTACAGTAAAAATGAATATAATAATTTTTAAAAAGAAACGACTCTTTCATGGCATCTTGGCCTTATGGTCTTTCTTCTGCTTCTCACCTCTCCACTAAGTTCCAGAACAAGACGGAGCACACCGTGGGCAGCTGGATGCTGAGGTCCAAAGTTGATTACTAAATTGGCAACATCTTTCTCTGCAATTGGATCTCGATCTACAAACAGAATAGGAATGGCGTTGATAATCAAAAACAGTTTGATGGGTTTCATGGCTCGAAGTATGTCTTTCACACTATTGCTTATTTGAATCTATGAAAATGTACATGATGGAAATTGAAAAGAAAAATGAATGATGTTCATAGTGCCCCCTTTAAGTTTCAATAATTCAATTCTCCAATACTTGATGATACATGTAATTTATGAAAAAGTATCAAGTTCAGAACATTGAAGGAAAACAAAATGCTATTACATAACATTTCAACCATGTACACCCCAACTCAAAGAATTAGATTAAAATTTTTGTAGATAGAAAAGGGATGCCACATGTGTACACGTCGCTTTGCAAACTCTCCCACCTATTTTTTAAACAATTAAACCAAATAATTATTTTTTCTTACTTGTGACACTATTTTCATTCAAGGGGGCATTTTAAAGAATTTAAGGGGCAAAATACACTCTGCCGCCATGTCTTCTCCCCCCCCCCCCCCCAAAAAGGTATCTTTTATAGTAGCTCTGTCTTACAAAATGGGTGCGGGGGGGGGGGGGGGGGGGGGGGGTAATAAAGTGAAGGAATTCTTACCATCCCAAGGCGGTGAGGGCCATTTGGCGGTGTTTTCATCCGGATACATCACAGCCTTCGAGTACTGCTCTATATCCTTCACCTCTGGCTGCCATTGTTTACCCCTGTTAAGAAAAAAAAGAACAAGTAGGGTCTATTTCATAACATTTGTTCAATAACATAGTATCTGGCAATCTGGCACTCATACCAGCATATGTAGACCTAGATGCTAATAAATGACCAGAAACTTTGCATGCATGAAATGTTTTCAAATTGTGCGACTGGTTCAGATTTGCAAAGTTTCATGCCACTAACAAAATTGAATAACAATTGAAACAGAATTAAATCTTTGCAGGTCACATGAATTCTTGCCATGAAAATGGCCATCATTAACAATACATGGAAGAGAAAGCTGATGGTTTTGCACAAGATGAACTTCTGATGCTTTTAATTTGTTTTGTTTTAGTTTTAGAGAGAATGATTCAGAATAGAATTTAGAAAATCACAATCACAAAATAATTGCAACATACTGTACGCAAAAGAAGAAGAGAAATACTGAAAAGCAAGTTCAACTGTATTAATTATACCAAGACTGTAAACTCATGTCAATATAAAAGACTCGCATTAGCGTTTAGACATGCTAGAACATGAGAAGGAAGACGCGGACTCGGTTCAGATAGCTAGGAAGTGAATGGAACAACATCAGCCACAACATGAATCTTAACATGTGGGACCACACACGACATGGTGCACGTACAGCCTAACAGGAGTAAGCAGTTTGCTATTCTAAAATCAACATTATTACGATTAAAGAGGCAAATTATCAGGTAATGACTTGTTACCTTGTCGAAGATACTACCGGTGTCCTACTTAAAACAGGGTTTGTAAGAACAGTTCTCAAATTTGACGCCAATTTGTGCGATGCTCGTCCCAGAATTGACGCCATTTTGAAACTGCTAATGTTATCTAAGCCAAGCTGAGCTATCGATATCCAAGAAGGGTTGATTTCAAGTTACCAATTCTGAAGAAATTCAATCCTGGAAAGAAATTCATATAGGAATAGATGATGACAGTACCATAAAAACAGAGCAATTCTTGAACCATGTTTTGATTTTGTTTAGGTATGGTTTTCCACAGTAGAGAGAAGAGAAACCCTCCAAAAGCTAAAAGGAATAGAAGATAGATTACTGGAAAATAGAAATGAAGAGAAAAAACTTCTCAGTGGAAAAGGATACCCTTAACCCTTTCAAATTTAGCGAATTGGAAAGCCTTGGAAAGTTTCGAATAAAATTAATGTTCATTTGTTTGTTTGTTTTCTCTTTTTTTTTCTTCCAATATACAACTTCTCGACCCTCTTCGCTTCTCTATCCTTGCTTTTCTTTTCACTTTTGTTTTGTTTGTTCATTTGTATGTGTGTGTGTTTTGTGTGTTTTGTCGTCCTTGTTATCGTGTGTTTAAGTGTTGTCTGGGGCGGGGGGGGGGGGAGGGTGTTCTCTATCTTTTTCTTCTTTTATCATTATGATATATCTTTATCTTCTCTATCATAATCCTTTTTTTCTCTTTGAGAGAAATTTTGAAAAATTATTGTGGAATAGACTAGAAATAATTGAAAATTGATAATGATATGCAAGCTAGACGAGGAAATTGTGTGTGCGATTTGTTTAAAAAGTGAAACTATAATTTTGTTTATGTGAATATTTTTCTTCTGTAAATGTGTAACTTCATTTGCAAATATATTCTATATGAAAATTTATTTGTAACCTTGTAGGGAAATATTAAAGTTCATTTGAAAAATTATTTAGGCCTATATGTGAAGATTATTTGTAATGTTGTATAAAATGTTATAAATTATGTGAAATTTTCTTTATGAGAAAAGAGAGTAAAAATCTATGAAAATAAAAAAATTATGCATGTTTGTTTGTTTGTTTTCATGTTTTTTTTTTTTATCTTTATCTCTCTCTGGGGGAGGTTTTCTCTTTTCAGAGGTAGTACTGTATTTTTGTTTTCTTTAACAAAAAAAAACAAAAAAAATATTGTTTGTTTGTTTGTTTTTTGTTTTAAAGAACAAAAATGAACATGAAATAAATAAGTATTCTATCATTTTTATTATTACTATTATTGTTTTAAAAAAATAAGGAAAATGTATGAAAGAGTTTAGTTTAACAATTGATGTTAATTAACAATAATATTTTTGAATTGTATTTTGATTATTCTGAATGTAATGTCAAGTCAGTATGATGTAAATTGCATGATTTTGATCAATATATGTACTGCCTCTGGTATTGAGAAAATAAAACACCTTATAAATATTTTTAAAATATCTGGTGGAAAAGACGGCGGGGGTGGTAATTCTCTTCATGGGTAGTTGATTTATTAAAAGAGTATTATTATTTCATGTACAAAGTATTGTTTGATATTTAAAAAAAAGTTTTAAAACAATTTATAGATTTTAAATATTGTTCTTCTGTATTCTTTTTTAGATAAAAAAAGAAAAAATGTACGAATTTAGTTTTTTACTTGTGAAGGATTTAGCTACGGAATTATATTTGTTTTGATTTCAACTACTTCTGTATAGAGAAATAGAAGCGAATCAGAATGCACTGAACTGCATGCATTACGTGTTGTTAGGTAGGGCAAGCCATAATGTTCGTACTACTGCACTTTGAGTTCAGACTATTAAGATACATTTACTTTATGCTGTAACACGTGACTGAAATAATTCGTATTCGAGGCGCTTTACATAGGCATATGCATTATTCGTTTCATTACAAAAATGGCCTACTCAATTTAATGCACGGAATTCTAATATGGATCATTCGACAAGATGATTTATCATCTCAAGCGTTTTGAACGAATTCTCGAATATATACTGTTACCCATGAATGTGGAATCACTTTTTCTCACATCTATTTTCAAGTATGATTGTGACAGACAATATGGTTTATTCGTGATAGATAAAGTTTATATCTTCTCTGAGCTTTGTTGATAAATTTAAAGGGTCGTGAGATTGATCAATAAAGTTCTAAAAATATATTAACTATATGTATATTGTCACAATCGTTTCATGAAAAGTGGTAATAAAACATATTTAAACGTTATGGGCAAGAGACGGTGCATCTAAATTAATTTTGAACATAGATCTTTACAGCATCTCTTGCTCTCTCTCTCTCTCTCTCTCTCTCTCTCCCTCTCTATCTACCTCCCTCTCCCTCTCTCGACATTTATCTCTCCTGTCATAATTGTAAATGAATAATATGAATTGAAAACCACAGGGACCTTCTTTATCCCCCTGTTCATCCGTGAAGAGGGAAAAGTCAGTCCTTCAGATTAACATGCTTCAAACAATAATATTAGCTTACAATTTTCGGTATTTCATTTAAAAATGATATTATTGTGTGTAGTATTTGGATTTGTTTCGTGTTTCGTATACATGATTTTCTTTTTTTTTTCTCTCGTTCAAATAACCCCCCCTCTCTCTCTCTCTATCTCTCTCTCTCTCTCTCTCTCTCTCTTCTCTATCTATATGCCTACCCCTTACTATATCCATTTATCTGTCTCCCGCTTTAATATCCCTCCCTCTCTCTCTCTCTCTCTCTCTCTCTCTCTCTCTCTCTCACCCTTTCTCTCACCCTTTCTCTCTCTCTCTCTCTCTCTCTCTTTCTTGCTTCCATTCCCTCTTTGATCAGCGTAAAAGCGTCACGGGCACTCTGGCGACATGACATAATTATGACGAAGTTAAACACAGCCAATCATAAATTCTTTTCAAACCTCAGTCACACCGCCTAACAGTCTCCAAATTAATTTATAGACCGTAATGTGTGGAGGTGTCGTGGTCTAGTGGATACGCCACAGACTATGGATCACAAGGTCCGCGGTTCGAGTCCCGCCACGAAACCAATGTCCTTTGGCAAGACAGTGATCTACATTTGCCACACTCAACCCAGGTGATGTAAATGGGAACCTGGTAGGAATCATGCTAGAGCGCCATGATGACAGCCATGCTAGAGCCGGGGGTAATGTTATTGACGAGCGCCAGGAGTATCAAGTTTGACAGACATGAGCGCTATACAATACCCCACACTATTATCTCATTCGGTCCGTTCTCGGTCTGGTGTTGAACCAAGCACTTTATTGATTGACGATTGTCACATGAACGTTGGTGAATGCATGTAGGTAGGCTACAAGGAGACCCACGGATGTATACATCCTTTCCGAGGGACTTGGATATGAGGATTAATGCCGCTTACCAAAGCCAAAGGGCAAGAGCACAGTGACTTGGTTTCGAACTCGAGACCTCGATCCTGGTTTAATAGAAGATCACTGCTCTACCACTGATCCATCATACCCCCCCCCCCACCCATAGTATGACTGGGGTATAAGTTTTCTGCACGTGGTATAAGGTTAAAGACCGACGCACTAATTGATTTCAAGCCGACTTCAAATTTTAATCTCTAGTCTGATTTCCTTGGGGATGTAAAAAGTCCCAACGTGTTATTTCTGTTAAAAGACACGTACGTATAGTGTCTTGAAATGGTCTTTCGCGCCATCGAACGAACCAATTACATGTTAATATCACTTGAGGTGGGTAAGGAATATAATTGTGATGGACTGAATTGCAAATCAGTTGGTCGCCATTAGCAGTATTACTACTGAAAACATTATGAGAAATGCCCGAGAAATGTTGCAGATCTATGTTAAGCAATACTCTTATAGGATTACGAGGCGTCGGGGAGGGGGGCTCGGGGCTACCCCCCCCCCCAAGAGTTATGAAAGCTGCATACTCGAGGAGAGGGGTGTCCGAAAATGATTTAAAAATATTATTTCGTCATCCAAATACACTTAATGAAATATATTGATTATCTATTTATAGGCATCTCGCTAAAATCATACCCGAGTATAGGCCTACTATATCGAAGAAAAAAAAATCGAGTGGCCACTAACGTGACTCCGCTGCAGGGTAGAAATGTAGTGAAAAAAGCGTTAACATTAACTCTTTTCTTCTTAGAGAGTAAGCATAATATTCAGCTAGTGAAGAGAGTATCGTAATGTTTTAAGTGTATTCCAATGAGGAAACAATATTTTGCTATACAAAAATTTCATTTTCTCTGACTCGCATAATTCAAACATTTGAAACTCATATTTCCACAATAGGCATCAGCTCGGCACACCACTCACCCACCCGCCTCCAAAATATCAATAGAACCTTTTTCACACTGTCTTAAGGAATGTCGGGCAATTAAGGTAACGGATGAATTAATTCATATCCATATTCTGATCCAGTGATCCCAGCAAAATCCTGCTTCATTTAATCTCAGGGTGAAGTGCTTAATATGCGGACGGTATCATTTTAGAGCTGGAGGTATTATCTAGATATTTCCAAATTATGAAGGTTATACGCTTGGGCTGTAGTGGGCCTCTCTCTTGAGACCCGACCGAGGAGTTTAGGGGGAGTTGCTTGCCGCTGTGCCGCTCGAGCGTGTCGCAATCACGCGCCTTTGGGCCTTTCCAATTAATGGCAACTCTCCACCCAACTCGTGATGTGATATGAGTTGCAATGAATATTTGATTGGTGTATCCAAAGACAGTACTCCCGTCCTCCAAGAGTTCGATGATAGTCTTTGAGACATTCCCTATATTGTGTTTATTCGTCTTGTCTATCTAGGCTATGCGAATAACAGTCATTATTAAAGGGGACACATTACTGTTTAACCTGATTTCATAAAGGTGGTTTACACAAATAAATCAACTAGCAAACAAACCAACCGCACATAAAAACATGGTCTAAACCACCTATTTACAATATAATTATGCGCGGCCAAAAGGCAGAATGTCAAAGGTACCCCCCCCCCCCAAAAAAAAAAAAAAAAATCCCTTTTGTATTTGACTTCATTGTGTAGTCTGATGTAATTAATGTTGATTTTAATACCCTTTGGCAAATTGGTGGTGCATACCATGGCCTTCCTTCTTCGTGATCTTTAGGAGATATTATTATTATATACTTTTTTTCAACACTTTATCCTTCATCATATTCTTCCCCTATTTTTCCTTCATACTCTGCTCTTCTTATTTTGTAAAACATTAACAATCCGTGAACGATTCCCTTCCTACATTCTGCTACGTTTCAAGCTTTTGCCTCATTTATATTCAATCAGAGACACCAGCCAGTTTAAGCTATTGAGTCTACATTGGTCTCTTTTCCTCCAAATTTAGATGACAATGATTCAAACCAAAGCGTTTTTTGGAAGAAGAACAAATGAATAAAAACTTTTAACTAAACACCGCAATCATTAATTCCCTCTCGGATCCCCGTTCAAACATTCTTGATTTTACACACTAAGTAACATAAACATGCCTACACGGTTTAATACTTTCATAACAACTTTCTACATGCACATATTATTCTCGTTCTTCCTCTTTCTCTGGATATTAAATAGAATGTATAGTATCCAGCAGACAATGTCATTACAACAGTTGCCAATACTTCTTAATGACAATCCTTCTTCTGTAAATAATTGTATAATGTTTGATGAAATTCAGTATTTATGAAAGTTTATCATTTCGTTTTTTGAAAATGATATATATATAATTATTTGCTTATTTATGATTCACTATCAGCAAAAATGCGTAATATATTATATATTACTATTGTTATTGAAAAACTGCGTACTTAAATGAATACAGAAGAAAATCAAACCACATCAAAAATCAAATTAAATCATGAGCGTCAAGATTCCAATTACTCCACAGACATTTTTTTCTAAAATCAAATCAAATCAAATCAACTGAAAACAGAATCAAACAGTCAATAGTAACTATATCTTTATCCCGCCTATTGGACTACTATTTCATAGTTCGATGTTTCCATTTTTACACTAAATAACGGCATTTTAAAGAAGAAGAATTAGTATTCCTTGATATACTTTTACTTTGGAGAAAGGTTTCGTCTCCTTAACGATCATTGACGATTCCCCCATCTATTTTGTTCGGTACCCAAAGGAGTTACGCATGGCATGACGTGCTCAGTATGCTGTGCCCCATCAAAAGTCAAAGTCTCGTCTATTTTGTGCACTGTACAGAATACAGCTACTTTAATATTGGGTACAGCGAAATGAGCAGTTTTAAAGATTTTCTGCACTAGTTTGGCTAGGAGGGATTAGACCACACAGCGAGGTCACTGACAGGTAGCTATCACATCAACTCAGCTCTCAAATAACACAAGATATAGAGGATCACGGGTTACCAACAGGCACTGATTGGGGAAGTTTTCTATATATAGGGAGCAAGTAGCTACAAGTAGGACGGTGAGGCTTTAATCTCATAAAGTATTCAGAACGCTGTGCGTGTTATTACGACACTTCAAAACTTTGACGTTCTATAAGCAACGGGGAGGTTCCGTTCGTAAAAAGGCGCCAATGATGTACCAGAAATGCCCTAAACGGCGCCAAAACCTGTCAACGTACCGCCCGTACATTCCTCCTCAGTGTGTTCGGTGCGCGTGTGTGTGTGTGTGTTCGTCGCACACCATTCATGACTTATGGACTCGTTGCGAATGTTGGGTAATGCTTCTCGAGCGCATTCAGGAACGAAGGTTGACCAAGGTTGACTAAATAATACATCTCACTCAAGCGCGAGTCTAGTGCTTTTCGGACATCCATCATATCGTACTTCCATATCCAGTACCGACGGAGACTTGTTGAAAGCCGCTTTTACATCATCAGCCAAGAAATCAAACTGTAAATCGTTCGGATAGCAAAATTCGGTAATCTTCAAATGATGCTTTACTCGGTTACTGATTGATTGTGTGGTATATCCAATCGACTTGACTTTCCACTTTATATCAATTCGGAATTTGTGGTAAGTATTCATGTCAACTCTATATCCGCCGTGGCTCTAAGCCACAGACTCCAACATTGCTTGGCGTGCATGTTACATTCATGTTATATGTGTGACAAATTTCACCTGCTGTACTGTAAATTCCATTTATGGATTTCTTCCTCCACCTTTCCCCCTCTTCTTCTTCTTCTTCTTCTTCTTCTTCTTCTTCTTCTCTTTCTTCTCCTTCTTTTTCTTCTTTTTATCTGTTGTCTTCTTCTTCTTCTCCTTCCGCTACTTCCTTTTTTTCTTTCTTTCTTTCTTTCTTTCTTTTAGTCCTTGTTTGTATGTGTTTGTCATCTAATTGCCCATAATATTGTGGATTGTTTCTGCCACGAGCGCTTTCCTATTGCGATGCTTCATGTATTTTACAATGCTATATTTCAACAACAACAAAACATATTAAATTATCAGGTTCCTGTTTTGTAAAACTTATTATCAATTATGATAACAAGTTGCAATAACTAATAACAGCTACCGACATGATGGCATTTGATTAACTGAGAGCTAAGTTGTCATAGATATTTAGCATTTGTTATTGAAAACAAATTTAATGAAACAGTATTTCCTCTGAAAAAATGCGATCGCATAGACTTTCACGAAATCAACTAATATCAAAAGGGCAGCTTCAATACCCTATTGTGTTCCCATCGTTATAAATAACAGTCGGATTACGTACTATATCCCTCATTCTATTGTCCTTACACTGTGAAAAGGTTGGGCAATATTTTGTCAACACTTTGCCCAACGTTGTGCCAATAGTCAACCCAACCATCTATTGGGCAATATTTGCCCAGTGGTATTGGTAAACGTTAGTACCCTACTTAACACGTGCATATTATTGTTTCGTATTTTGACCAAAATTGGGGCAAAGATATGACCCTTCAACTGCCCAACTACGGTAGCCTACTTGTTGGGAAAATCTTGACCAACTGTTGGGCAAAATACGAAAATATTGCTCAATAGATGGTTGGGTTGACTATTGGCAAAGTGTTGGAAAGTATTGCCCAACCTGTTCACACTCTACATTATCCATAGGTGGGGCACAGAGCTATCAGATTGCCATAAGTTATTTTCGAAAGCCTTTGCGATTGGTTTGGAATATAGAAGGAAAAAAAAGGATTAAGCAGAATTCACTGCCAAATACTGTCTTGAGAGAAGGCAACATTCAAACGCTTCCAATCGGTGAATGTTCGCCCTGACCAGAACTCAACTGCATTCTAATATTGATGTAATCAATATTATGACTGTTGCTTGTAATATGCCACGAATATTTGAGTATACATCAAAGAGGAAGGTGCATTACTGCCGTCAGCTATGTAAAACTGAGTGTCTCTAAACCTTGGCAACTACCTCTATTGTACACATCCCTTTGTTTGTGGGACATGTAGAGGCTTTGTAATGACGGTCCGAGGAATCAGTCATATATTTCCTCATCGCCCCCCTCCCCCCCTAAAAAAAAAAATCATACAACTACTACTACTAAAACTACTACTACTACTACTACTACTACCACCACCACCACCACCACCACCACTACTACTACTACTACTACTACTACTTCTACCACTACTTATAATAATACTATCACCACAGTCACCACCATTACTACTACTAGTAGGAGTCCTACTACTACTACTACTACTACTACTACTACTACTACTACTACTACTTCTAGCACTACTACTACTACTACTACTACTACTACGTCTACTACTACTATACTTGTAATACTGCTACCAATTCAAGACTCTGAAATACACTTAAGATTAAATTATCAATGAATGACCATCTCTGGTGCGAAAGATGATACCCTATTAAACCTTCGTGATGTCTGCCAATCCCTCACATATATTATTACGCTCAAGGTCACGGTTATTGTTTTATTCATGGACGTCAAGAGGGCAATCTTAAAGGGCCATTCAACCTTTTTAATGTAGAGTTGTCATAGTCCAGTGGTTTAAACACTTAAATTGCGAAGGTGATGGGTCGAGCCCCAGCACGGCACTTTTGGCATTGAACAAGGCATTTTAACTACATTGCTCCTCTTCATCCAGGTGTTAATTGAGTATCTGGTAGGATGCGAACGTCATTGTGGTTGGATAAGCATGTGCGCAAAAGGCGACTAGCCGGAATGTTCAACAGGGGGTGGAGAATGTGCACCGTGCAATGCACAGAATAGTAATTTAATCCAGTGACCGACTGTAATGATCATACTGTAAGCGCTCTGATCAGTTAATAGTTAAGCGCTATATATGAGAAACCGGTGTTATCAGTAGTAGTAGTAGAAGTAGTAGTAGTAGTAGTAGTATAGTAGTAGTATAGTAGTAGTATAGTAGTAGTGTCAGTATCATTAACATCATTATCATTGTTAATATTATTATTGTTATTATTATTATCATCATTAATGTTATCATTACTATCATTGAAAGAGAATGAGTGCATAACGAGAGAGAGGGACAGAGAGAGAGAGAGAGAGCGAGAGAGAGAGAGAGAGAGAGAGCGTGTAAGAGAGGGAAGGGATACTCTTTCATCTCATGGCCTTATTTTCCATAGCATTTAATTCAACTGGCAAAATTGTTGCCTCCTCCCTAAACACACACACACATTTACGCGCACATACACCCACACACACTCCAGTGTCCTGGGTCTGAACCCATTTTACGTCACTGTGTATATTCATTTAATTTGCAGTAATCAGGCAAATTGAGAAGGCGATCTATTTTGAAACTGCATGATGAATTTGAACATCCTTCTTGAACTATATCTATTCATTCCATTAATATTTAGGTGGTTCAGGTTTTCGGGAACACCGTGTTCATCACCTTTTCGAATATATACATTTCAATCCTCGAGACCTTTTGATTCCGAGGTGTTAATACTAGCGGTGTAAACGTTTTCCGCGTGAAACAAGACTAAACCCATTTACACCTAATGTACTTTGTTACAGTAGAAAGTGTCTGAATAGTACATTATTTTCACGAGATTGAAAATAACCGTTAGCATAGATATGTAAAAACAGACGGAACATGGATTATATTTTCTCTTCACATTTTAAAAATGGATGAAAGTGACAGTTATGATCGCGATGTCCTGATCCGACATTTGCTTGGCTACGATTGCTCCGGGCTTCCTTTCGTCAAAAATGTAGAGTTGATAGGGTTCGGTTTTAAGGTTAGGGTTAGCTTTTGATATGATATTGGTCCAGGATTACAGTTAAAGAAGTTTGGTTAGTTAGTTTTAAAGACAGGCTTTACTTCTTCAGCTAGAAGGGATTAGACTACCCAGCGAGCCAGCGAGGTCACTGAGACAGGTGGCTATCTCATTAACTCAGCTCTCATTTAACATAAGAAAAAGAGGATCATGGGGAACCAACAGGCACCGATTAGGGAAGTTTTCTATATAGAGGGAGCAAGTAGCTACAAGTAGGACAGTGGGGCTTTAACGAGATTGAAAACAACCGATATCATAGATATATAAAAACAGACGGAATACGGATGATATTTTCTTTTCGCATTTTTTCAAATCCTGTATGAAAGAGTGTAATAGCTGATGGATGAAAGTGACAGTCAAGATCGCGATGTCCTGATCCCACATTCTCTCCGGCGACAATTGCTCCGGGCTTCCTTTCGTCACAGATGTAGAGTTGATAGGGTTGGGTTTTAAGGTTAGCGTTAGCTTTTGATAGTGGTATTTAGTCTAGGATTACAAGGAATACAGTTAAGGAAATTATTTCTAAAGGTTATATGCATATATATCATCTATTCGAATTTGTGTCAGGCAATTTCAAAAGGGGGCGGGGATCGGGGGCTTGATATGTGCTCATTCAAAAGACGGTTGCATGACACGTGCTCAGAATAACATATTGAATTCGGTAAATCTAGGAAATTGATCGCGGAAAAAAACCTTGCCTAATAATGTTTCGTTCAACCGTGACGTGACTGAGCAGAACACGTTTAAGAACCCTCCCCCCCCCCCCATTAACAAAATGAAAACTTTGGAATGGATGTTACATCTGCGCACATCTTTGAGCGACATCCTCAATATGTCATCAAGTTCTGGCGATTCCCATGGCCCTTGGCGTAGCTACACTCTAACAATTAAAATGTTAACTAATTATTTAAAAGGGCCGAGGAGTGACCACTTTTTCAAAATGGAAGATTAACACTTTAAACATGCTGGATCCAACATTATACAGTTTAAAAGTATCCATCTGACATTTTGAAAGAGTGGTCACTCCTCAACCCTCTTAAATGGTTATTTAACATTTCACTTTTTACAGTGTACAGGGGCACAGGCTTACTACGTATCATCGGGTCATCGCGTTGAGTCGGGTGTTCGCGTTACCGACCTTTTCCAAACACGTCCCTTTGTTGACGAAATCTTGGGGGCAATTTTTGTGAAATAAACTCCTATCACCTACAAATGCCAATGCCACGGTCTGGTCCAATTTACCCTACACTCTGTGAAGACACTATAGCAAATCGCGTCATCTTCCGCTTTCGTTTCGTTTCACGAAAGGTTGCCAAATGCGAGCACCAGACCGGACGTGATGATCCAATGATTCGAAGTAAGCCGGGCACTGGAGCAATCAAGTGGTGAAAAAGAATACAAAGAAAGAAAAAGCGAGCAGAGAGAGAAATTGAAAGAGAGAATGGGGAACAGAATGAGAGAAGAAGACCTTCTCCCGCACGCTCCTCTGAATTGCTCACCTTGTAAATTCGTATTATTTTCACTAACCGAGCACGACTGATGCGCCCCTCCCCCTCCGCCCCTTCCTCCTTCATCGTTCTTGTGTCCCTTCAAGGGGCGACCCACTCACGCTACGCCACAGTTCATTGCTTCCGAGTATTTCTTTTTAAATATTCCTCGTCGTTTCCTTTACCCCTAGGTTTTCAAGATGGCGGCCGTGTTTCTCTACTTCTGGATCGCGCTCTCTTGTTTCCTCTTGAATCTCGTAGCGGGGCAGCTTGAATGTAAGTGCGGACCTGTTTCATACAATTTGTTATACAGTGCGTCCCAGAAAAAAACGAAACCGAGAATTATCGATGTTTTATCATAACTTAGTCACATTTATAATGAATAAATGACACATATTTGGAAAGCGTAGATCCTCTTCTTTCAATTGATGCAACTTATATGATGCATATTTCACGCATGAGTGATTAAAATTAATTTGAAGACAGGAAACCAAAAAGTTATTTGGCGGACGGTATCTGAACTTCAAAGAGAAAATCACATTTCTAGAAAGTTGAGTTTCTGCCCTTTTCTATGACACCTCAATCAGGAAAAATGAGCAAGGAATGACAAAGTTCTGTTTGTTTAAAGTAGTGCTTGCATTTCCATAATTTTATCAAAAGAATTCTTTTCACTGGCTGCCTGCCGTAGCAACAAGCAGAATTGACAAAAGACTTAACTCCGTTGAAAACAAGTTTTATGAAACTGGGTCCTGTTCTGTTGTTGCATACACGTATTTGTATACTCTGGATAGTAAAGTAGGGTTTAATGATGATTTTCTAGGGCAACTACCCCCCTAGGACTACACCCCTGGACATCCCACTCTTTGAAAACTACCGAATAATAGGACGCAGCTAGGGTTTTTTGGCATATTTGTAAACACAATCTTCAATTATATATCTCTCGATGTGTGTTAGATAATTTTCCATCTTCTAATGAAATATGATAAAAGAGTCGTAGTCTATTTGGATTGATAGTAATGTTTCATTTTTGTTATCAAATTTGTCATTATTATAGTATCATCATTATTGTTGTTAATATTATTATGAGGATCATGTTATTGATGATGATACTGATAATGATGATGATGATGATGATGATGATGATGATTAATATCGTTAAAGGTAAAGACCAGTTATGGTCATGCGATTGCATTGTGAAAGAAACGTTGTGGAATCGATCAGAAAAGGTTGATCATCTAGCATCTAGCATCTGCAAGGTTCTGGAATCATCAAAATGATAAGAAATTTGGCCCATTCTTCGTAAAGTTACAAGCACTATACACAGAAAGATGTATATGGGACTACCCTATATCTCTCACAGACCACGAGAGAAACAAATTTACAAAATATATGAATTAGTAGGCGGTTTACCGGCAAATTTTTTATCATCATGTATTAGTCAAAACATATTCTTTCACATGATTGGTGATGAGAGCTTCCATTTCATTTTTTGAAATTGGGGCGTTTCCAATACTGGTCTTTACCTTTAATATTCTTTTTTTTTTTATCATTATCATTATCATTAACATTATTAATATCTTTATAATCATCATCGTCATCATTATTAATTATAATATTTTCGTCATTCAAATATTGTCATTATTGTTATTATTATCAATGTAGTTATTGCCGTTGTTATTATTACAGATATAATAGAGATTTACATTTCTCTACGCTCTCTCTCTCTCTCTTTTATTGTCTTACCAGTCCTTCTAATCTTCTATTACATTTGTCTTACTGCCTTCTGTTACGCGATCGTTCTCCTTTAATTATCCTCTAGTCATCCGTTTCAATCTCTTCTCTTGTTTATCTTTCTTTACTTTGATCATATCCTTGATTATTTATTGTGAATTACCATTTATATTTATATCTTATGCTTTTGTATGTAGATTAAATTTGTTTCAGCCTCTGGCTGCTATTTGAATGTTTTTTTAATCATAAACCATATCAAATCAAATCAAAATATTATCATTATCACAATTATTATCATTGTTGGTGATATTACTATCATCGCAGGCTCAAGGACACCCAAGCCAGTCTTTATGTCTACCGAAACAGAGCTCGAAGCAGATGAGAAAAAATCACTTACTTTACCATGTGTCTTTTACAATGTCACCGGGGATTTCCAAATATATTGGTATGGTAAGTATATCCCCCACCCCCCCCCCATAAAAACAAAAATGTTTTTTGTTTAAACTAGTTGGTACAAGGCAATCTCTTACTAAAATGAGATAAAGTAACTGATTTACGGATATTGGTATGGATGCAATATTTGTTTTTATACTTAGTTAACTGCATTATCAATATAAAAGTAAATCTCTATTATCGTTAACATTCTTTTAATTATGTTCTATTATTAACATGAAATGTATTTTGTACTATCATTAATTATGTACACTCTAGCACATGGAGTTGGAATAATTTTCCTTTCCTCTTTTCATGACATGATTATTTTTTTCAATATATTATAAAGTTTGATCAATCTGGAATGTCATAAAGATTGATAAATTAAGTTCTTAAAAAAAAACACTTTATCAATCAAGAATAAACAATATTGTCACAATAGTTAAGTATTATAGGCAACTGTATTATATGTCTAATATACAGCTATTATAATGCCTGTATATTTTATTAGTATTCCTCTCTCTCTCATCCCCCTCTCCCTCTCCCTCCCTCCCTCCCTCCTGTATCCATCTTCCTCTCCCTCTCTCTCTCTCTCTCTCTCTCTCTCTCTTCATCTCTCTCCTCATCTTTCCCTTCTTCACTACCTCCCCTACCCCTCCTATCTCCCCCTCTCTCTCTCTCCCTCTTTCTCTCTCTCTTTCTCTTTCTTTCTCTCTCTGCCTCTCTCTGTCTCTCTCTCTCTCTTTAGCCGGGACTCAGAACATATACTGGAACGATAGTCCCCAGACGGGTTCTGTTAATTACGATATTGATTACAGCCCCACAAATCCAACCAGAAGCTCAAATTTGACGATCAAAGTTTTAAGTACTTACGACTCTATGACGTATAAATGTCGAGTGAGTGCAAGTGAATGCAAGGTCCAGGCAGAGTTTAACGTTATCGTCAATTGTGAGTATAGATATGTTCAATTCAAATAAATGTTTAATTGGAAGAAAGACCTAACTCCATCAAAGAAGTTTATGATTTGTTATGAAAAGATAATACATGTATTTTGAGATAAATTAGTATTTCATTCACCTGTTACGAATAATTGTATTTCAGTAGTCAGAATGGAAATGGCATACATTTCGTGTTGCTAGGTAGGGCAAGCCTTGATGTGTATCCTACCTAGCAACAGCTAATATATACAGTTCGCATTCTGACTATCGAAATACAATTATAATAGATAACAGGTGAGTGCAATAACTCGTTAGTAAGTTAACTTTATTAATTTCGAATACATTTTTGCAACAGCTTCTTCCTGGAGCAAATTTCAGATGGAATAAAAAGTGGCATTTAATTTCTTACAGACATTTCCCACTTAGATAGTGCCCCTGGAGTACTAGAACTTTATCTGATATTAAGCACATGCGCCTTGGAAAGTAATACATCTATGCCCTTGACCCATGAGGGTTATTTATCATTATTTTCAACTTAATAATTTGAATTATTCAGCATTTTTAGGGAGAGCATAAATACGTCGTTACGCGATGCCTCTAGCGTGTAGTAAAGAAATTCGTTACCAAATGGAAATTTGCTTGGCTTGTAGAATTCAATTTGAAAACAAGTGTTTCAGTATACAGACCATGCAACGTGAATTAGCCTGTGAGGGGCGATATGTAGATCCCATTACGTGACCCTTGGGGAAATAGGAGTTGATGAATTGTAATATTAGGGACTTTTAGATTTGCACGTCGACATAGTGGACTGCTATGTGTGACGTCCTTTGAAGGCACACGTGCAAATCTAAAAGTCCCTAATGCCCCTTGGATACGGCCCGTCCAAGGCTGGTCAGGCATATACACTGTCGCTCATAAAGTTGGAATATTTTTGTTTTACCCCAATTTATGGAATTATTTTAAAAATAATTAAAAAATAATAGATCTAGATAATAGTATACATTCTCAGATTTTATTGAATAATAATTTGACAATGTGTGTTTTGCGTGACTGCTAAAGCATGTGGATGCTACTATGCTTAACAACTAGGGGACCTACGCCCTTAAGTCATACATGACAGTAATGAGGATTAATGCCCCACAAAAGGGCACTAATATAGCACATCGACACGGTTTTGATCCTAGGGCCTCACAGTTACGAGGCCATTGCTTTGTCATTGAACCATGACTGTTCGCAGCGGGGGCTAGGGTAGGGGGCATTTTCCATAAATAAAAAAACACAGAAAATGCAATAAATTTTCAATAATTTATTGCCGTATTTATTAGGTTTTTTTATTTATTGAAAGTGCCCCCTACCCTAGCCCCCGCTGCGTACAGTCATGGTTCAGTGACAAAGCAATGGCCTCGTAACTGTGAGGCCCTAGGATCAAAACCGTGTCGATGTGCTATATTAGTGCCCTTTTTGGGACATTAATCCTCATTACTGTCATTTATGACTTAAGGGTGTAGGTTCCCTAGTTGATAAGCATAGTAGCATACACATGCGTTAGCTGTCATGCAAAACACACATTGTCAAATTATTTTTCAATAACATCTGAGAATGTTTACTATCATCAAAATCTATTATTTTTAAATCATTTTTGAAATAATTTCATAAATTTGGGTAAAACGAAAATATTCCAACTTTATGAGCGACAGTGTACATAAATATCACAGGCCTTGACGCCTAAATATGCACCAACGCAACTATCTGACGCATGGGCTAAAAGTCTACGTCGAAAATCGTTGATGTGTGCGGTTAGGGTCTTCTTGCATAACGGATTCGCTTTAACATAACTCAAACAACTTAAACGCAAGTCATAAATACGCGATCCTGATTGATTGAAATTTGAACTGTGTTTGATTTTGGGGGTTGCGTTGAATTGCATCTTTTTATGCAAAAAATCTAAGAATATTGATTTGATATCTTAATTGTAGCCGTGAGGTTTGGTGTAATTTGAATTATTTCAATAGCGCAATGAACCGATTGGCAAAGTGGAATGGCGCCTCGTGTGTGAAAGACATTTCTATCCATTTATTTATTTATAATCTTTTGTCAGGGCAGCCCATTCACCAATAAGTAGTAGTCTTCCATGGGGCCCTGAATTATCATGAACATATTTACATCAAAAATCATAACGTTTATACAGAACAGATAAAATAAAATGTAATCGTACCTTTAGAAAGATATAACACAGCAATAATAGACGTGGTACAAACGAATACTCGTTTGCAAGATAATCATATATATTGTACCTAGTTCAACTGTAATGCCAATAGGAAATATTGATTAAGTCGCAATTATGTGAATAAATCATGTTAGTAATACAGAACATGCAAGTAGTGTATGTTCGGCTGAGTTAATGAAGCAATACAATACGATACAATACTATTGGCGTAGCAAAATGACGCCAGGCTGCAATAAACACGACATGTTGCGTTATAAAGCCTCTGCACAGCATTGTTTGCACGTTGCATTTCCATTTTTATTTTTGTGCGATATTACTTTTACGATGCGCGTCAAAAATCCCTGACGCAACCCTACGTCAGCAAAATGACGCTCGAGTGCAATGGGGTTACGTTGATTGTATAACTTCTCAATGCTCGTTAACCAATACAGGAGTAGCTACACGTATATGGCTTATCACCACATAATCTTATGCATGAAAGTCATACCAATTTAATGTCGTGTGTTCCCTTTTCGTGTCTCACGCCAGCTTAAATTGATTTCAATTGGATATAAAATATGTAATGACGCGAAGTATAAGACTGCATCATTGCTCTCCCCATTAGGGGGAGAGTCTCTAAGGTCCTGGGTAATCACAAGCCGCTTTGTTAACGTCGCCATTCAGTAACAGCTTGGTAATTACGAAGATCTCTGAAACAGGGTTGCCTGTATTGCCATCAACCGGAGTACTATAACGACGTATACTTGGATATATTGTCAGTGTTTGTTGTACCTGCAACAGAAAGATAACAGGGTCGCCCTTCGAAAAAGGGAAATGTATTACTTTTTAATACAGATATATGTAATAGAATATTACTTGTGGGTGCAAAATAAATAATTTTTTGTAAAGTTCTTCGAAGAAAGTTTTTTAAATATAGCACAGCGTTGCATAACCTTTTCCTGTGCACCTTTTTCGATATCATGGAGGGCAAGTACTCTAAAAAAATAAAAATAAGAACATTAAGACTATTCTTGAGTTTGACACTAAGAAACGAGAAAAATAGCTTTAATAACTTCATATCTGCACGGTATTAGTAATAGTATTACTATCAAGAATGTAACGGTGGGATTAAAAGAGGAAGCGACGCCATGTTTGAGCTGTCGACAGCTTCTTAACTCGGAAGCACTTCGATCAGATCTTGGGTTTGAAAATCCATTCAAACAGCAAATATTGAAGCCAACACATGGGTGGAGTCAGTGGCGCTCTCACTTAAACTGTATATAGCACTCATACGTAATACCATGGCATAGTTAAACTGCATGCAGGTGTGTCAGATTCATTTATCCCCCTACCCCCCCCCCCCCCACCTACACTCACCCACCAGCGCCCCTTTTCAGTCCGCTAAAAATTCACCTCTAGCACCCCTGTTTATCGATTTCCGCATACATCACTGGCACGTATTATCTACAGGTGATTGGAAAACAAGACGTGATGAAAACACAAATTTAAAAGATCATAGTATCGTTGGAAAAGACAGTGGCATGGATGCAGGAACACAGAAAATCGCCCCCACCACAATCGAAAGGCAGGGGGGGGGGGAGAAGGGGGAAAAGAAAATGGAGAGGGAAAGGGAAATATAAACAAGCCCCCCCCCTCCCAGTTTCCAGCACCTTTGCAACGCGATTGGATATAGACTTCACAGTTAAGATTTAAAATCAATCTGGAATTAAACGTTGAAATAGATAAACGAAGGTTCCCAAGAACAGATAGAGTGTAATTTAGAAAATGTAATTTTTGGATTTGAAGACAAAAAAAAATGATGATTTAAATTGCATGGTGACTTTGATTAAGCATTAACTATTCGTACAAACAAATTTCCAAATTTTAATTCTTTGAAGAAGAAAATTAGGCCTATTCATTATTATGAAGACGAGAGATATATTTATTTCTATATCTGGTATGTATAACAATTCTTTTTACTAAATGGCAGTCACTACAACATTTGTTTATATTAACAAGGAGAGAAATGACTTCATTTCATTGAATTGTAAAATGTTTTGTTTGACTAAATAAATAGCCTGTGGAGGGCTAAAACGCTTTTTTTCAAAGTTTTAAAATACATCTACATGCCCTGTTAATCAATCAGACTTAGGTGCTTGAAACGTAAGTTGATTTCGTCATTGAATAATTCATTGATGCCAGAAGATAATTTTGCTATCTATCTCCCTTATCCCCCCCCCCCCCTGCCAATGATTCCAGTACAGTGCCCTCCAAATGGCTGGAAATACGCTACTTGAAACAGACTTCAAGTTTGATCTTGAAGAAGTCAGTCATGATCTGCACACCAGTCAGACGTTGTACCCGCCATTGAATTGGTGCTAGCAGTTAATTTTGCTATCTATGGCCTCAGCCCCCTCCCCCCCCCCCCACCTCCAATGATTCCAGTGCCCTCCCATTGGCTGTACATATGCCTCTTGAAACAGACTTCAAAGTTGATCTTGAAAATATATCTACATGACCTGCACACCAGCCAGACATAAAACACATGATATTGGTATGGAAGGTGTGTCCGTCATTGCATTGATGCCAGAAATTAATTTTGGCATCGATGAATAATGAAATTCAATCATACGTCGCCGCCAATCGGCCGTGGGTTGTCCCTCCATTAATAGCCGATTAGGGCGAGTAGTAGAGGACACGGTGTCCCAGAAAAGGTCAGTTTGATAAGTACTGTGAGCGTCTGTAAGTGGCGCGTGGCTGGAATGCTCCCCAAGGAGTGGAGTATGTGCATACATTGTGTGCGTCCCTCCATTAATAGCCGATTAGAGCAAGTGGTAGAGGACACGGTGTCCCAGAAAAAGTCAGTTTGATAAGCACTGTGAGCGTCTGTAAGTGGCGCTTGCCTGGAATGCTCCACATGGAGTGGAGTATGTGCATACATTGTGGGCAGGACAGCCTGAATCTGATGACCGGAGACGTGATGAATTTGTAAAGTGCTTGGATACATCGTCAAAATGTATTAAATGCTATATAAACTCAGAATATCACATTATTATGTGTTGTGTTGAGCTATCATCTTAACATACAAGATTTTCATTTGCAACATTAAGTGCCCTGTGCGGGAACATATTTCCTTATCTTTATACAGTATACACGCGATTTTCGCTCCTACGACATTTTTTTTGACATTTTCGATGTGACATTTAAAGTATGCACCTTTCTAGAAATTTTACTAAAATTTGGAAAATGTGTTATTACTACAAAGTAACTAGGCATAAGTTTCAATCACAAGTTGCCCACAGTACATATAATTCCTTGATGCTATTTCTTTCAGCTGGATTTTGTCTGTTCACCTTATAGTTGTCTCGTCGTATTGAAGTCAAATAATTCAATACTCATGCGGGAATACCGTAAGCCTTAAATGACTCTTCGAATTACCCGGTAAATATTTCAGCGGGTATTTTCAACGTGTGATACCTGCCCAAAACATCATATTTCATTTCATCATGTTTAGGACAGGAAAATATGACGGATGTAATTCTTTTCTGTATTAGGAAATATCTGAAAGAGAAATAGTTAACTGAATTCTCGGAAACGCAAACAAATAAATGACTGAAAAAAGGGAAAGGATGATAATGTAGTGCACCACCGTTGATTTATAGGCTGCTGTGGGCTTATCAAAGTAATGATCAAAATAGAGGGACATATTAACACAAACTTGCTTAAAATTACATGCACCGTATATGGGATTACATACAAAGGTGGCTTGAACTTGATCAAAATGTTCTAGCTAGTTCTTGTCATATTTCCAACATGCGGGCATTTTAAGGTTAATCCTCTTTTTTTTTTTTGGGGGGGTGGGACATTTCTATCATGTTGTTCTTTTACGTTGAAGTCAAGAGAAGAAAAATAATTACTCTATAAACAAGAATCGAGGGTCATCAATGACGTGACTCTTCTCGAGAGTGAACATATAGCGAAAGTAGAGGGTTAAAAGGGTAACTTGCTTTTTGAGAGCACTCGAAACAATCAATATTCACTCCTAATTACTGACGTGACTCCCAGGAGAGTGAAAAACACAGGAGTGAATATTCACCATTTTTTATTTTAGAGAGCACAACTCGTTTTTAATCTTAACCAGAAACTCTGTTTAATTTCTCTTTTTAATCCTTCTCTTTAATTGCGAACAGCTAATAACACTTGTTATATTATCAAATTCCATATTGGCATAGTTAATCATGTTTTTCACCCAGCGTCATGGTGTACGTAATCATTTGGGATGTTATTATATTCATGATGTCCGTATAAACTAAAGTGACTCGCTACGACTAGACACCATTGTGACGTCATCTCACTCCCAAAAGGGGAAGAGTGCTTCAAACTTTAATCGTGAGCGATAGCAGATAATGAATCCTGTAATGCACTTACTATTGAGTATCCATGCAAGATGAAAATACAAGCTGAAATTAATACTGTCCGTGGCGAGCAATAATGATTCAAATGATTTTATTTCTCATGCAAAACATAATACAATGAATAATTACATTACAAAAATATGCAATTAAACGACAAATATGATAGAAAAAGCACGAGAAAAGAGGAACTTACTGGAAGCAGAGCTTGTTGAAGTGTTAGTTCCTCAGATGCTGTCTAGATGGTTTAGATATGCTTAGAAAATCAATAAATAGAAAAAATATGTAGCTAAGAAATGGAATGGAGTTGAAGATTGCAGATGTTGAAATAAGGCATAATTGTGAATTATTCATTTCAGTCGCATGTATACCATATCAAAAGTACCCAGTGGGTCGTAAACAATGATTTACTTTGTACTATTGACGTTCGTCAAAGTTATGCACCTTGTGCCGTAATTCTCGGAATTCTGGTCTTGAAAAACTCTGTCCAAGAATCACCGCATCGTTTCGATTTTTTTCTACAAAGACAATGACCCTCTTTCAAATAAGATTTAGAATCTACCAATAAGTCATTAAGATATTTCTTATTATGTTTTGTTGTGTGGGAGTAATTCTGTGTCCCTTCTTCACAAATTGAATTCAACCACATAACAATAGGCATATAAATTGTCGGTTCGCTTTGGTTTTTAGCTAATGAATAGAATCATTTCATGTTTCTTCATTAACTCAATTCAATAACATATGATAGGATCATCTCAAGTCAATGCACGTTTATTAATCACACTATACTTTGTGTCGAAATATCATACTTTTTACAACCTGATAATGTATCGTTAATTCCAAAAACAAACAAAATTCAGACCAAACAAAAATCGCCTTTACTACGAAATTCCCTTTCATCCTATCCATTAGGGTATATACAACCACTAATGCCAGAATATTCTCTCCAGTTCCTCCTTAATTTGCAACTCGTTAACTTCTCATACCCGGGGAACAGTACTGGGGACTTAATCAACGTTTAATGAAATATTCAAGAAAACGATGATTTTGTATATACCGGTGGGTAACAATCTTCCTTGGATACGTAGTCCTCTTGCATAAGCACTGATGCGTAATGCCTCCCCAAAAGAGGTCGATGTATTCCATCCGTTAAGGTTCTGGTAAATAATCCACCGTTGGGTGTTCGCTACACGTTTCATCCCATGTTTATATGACGCCCCGGTGGATATGACGTGCACGTGTTACGAATTCAAAATGGCGGAGAAGGGCTGGCATTTTAATGGAGAGCTAGGTATCGAGAGGCAACGAAGGATTATATCCTTCTTTCCATCAGAAAGTTAACCTGTCTTGCCTCTTTCAAAAGGTCTCTCAAAACACACTTCTTCCCTCAGTAGCATAATGTGTTTTACCTATTTTTATGAATTTATGTATTTTATGTTTCTGTTTCTGACATTTCGTAAGCACTGTTACAGTTTTTGTTTTAGCGCCCCTAAATTCTCGATAATATAACTATCATTAATAATAATAACAACGTGCAGTTTAGCTGAAAGTCGAAAGCCGTTTTCACATACCTACAACCCTTTTCATTCTCATTCACCGAGGTTAACACTCAAGCACACACTCCGCACACGCACACCCACATATGATTTTCAATTGAGATTAAGATCTATTTCCTTTCCGTTATTAATAACATGTGGTAAACGAAGATATTAGTACAGAAGGCGAAAATTACGAAAAAAAAGGCTTTTATCGATCAAGACAAGATATTGTAAAAATCTCAATGTATTAAACATTTTCTTGCATCTACAGTTTACGACTAAATTATGTCAAGGAGCACTCATGCAAAAGATGAAATCACATAAAAGCACTAGAGCTACACAAAAGTATGTCTGAGTAGGATAAAACATTACAAGATGTAATAGTATCATGACAAACAGATGCTTTTTTCATTTCATGTTTTTAACGCTTTCTCTGATCATGACCGATTCGCTACTTCTAATTTCTCAAAGGAGAGCAAAACTCTGTGGAATAAAGAACTCTGTTGTGCGCTGTGAAACCGCTTAACATGCGTTAAATGCTTTATAATTGAATTCTTTTTTGGTTCGTCCTCAGATGCACCTGTCGTGTACTATATTGGACCCCGAGAGCCGCCATTTTGGAGTATCGATGAACCAGACAGAATATTCGTGAACGAGACATACAACATCACTTTAAGATGCAACGCCAGCGGTAGACCCGCCCCCTTCTTTACCTGGGTAAAAATGATACCCAACCAGCCTGAGCCTGAAGAACTGTCGGCGGGAACAGGTAATTTGTTCAATTTTAGTTCAAATTAAATGTTTCGTTCAAGTCTCGTTCAGAGATGAGGTGTGTTTTTTATGACCACGTAAATGTTTTACACTTCTCATATTTGGATGCTATAACACAGAGCTTAGGGAATTCATATTTCTTTTATTGCTTTATTGTTAAAATGAAATGTAATATTTGCTAAAATTATATACATGAGCCTGAAAGTTAAAAAATTGCCAATGTCTATTGAAAAAGGAGTTTTAATCCCTCAAGTGTTGCCAATTTAAAGATATTAAATCTTAATTTCGTTTTAAAAATTCCTGGTATCAAACGCCAGATGCTCGTGAAACAAAAGTGGATGCAGATTGTGCGGAATGATAGACTTTTCTACTCATACATCTGGGAGGTGTTTCACAAAGATCGTAAGTCGAACTTAACTCTAAGTTGGAGTTAAAAGTTATGGAGAGCCATTTGTTGTCTAAAAATAAAATATATTCAAAAGCGTAAATTCAAGTATTTTCAACTTTTTATAAATTCCACATCTAGAACATAAAATTTTCTTGATAATCGAAAAATATGAATGATTTGAATCAACATTTTATGCCTTTTAAAACAACTTTTTCAAAATATTTTCATAGATGCTAATGGCTCTCCATGATTTTTAAGTCCAACTTAGAGACAAGTTCAACTTAGGATCTTTGTGAAACACCCCCCTGGCATATTTTTAGGGATCTGAAGCAAAAGTTATTGAGCCAAACCAACAAATTTAGAATGAGCGTCATGCACGGTGGAAAGGTGGAGGATGGTTGGTAAAGTGCACCTGATAGAAATGAGTCCCTGAGGATCTATATACACGTGACCCACACACATTATACACCCCTGTTCAGCTCTTTATAATGCAAGGCATCCCACCGCTGCCGCCGCTTTTACTAATGTGGAATCGGGCATGATTTCATGAGGAGGTCACGTCTATCAAACGACGTAGTCCACCTCGGCATCAGGTCGGCTTTAATTAACCCTTTACTTGTCGTAGTTTCTGATTGGCACATAATAATTATGACAGAAAACAATTTCCGGTCGTAATAGGATCCTAACATAGTGGGAGATTACACGTTTGCAATATCATCATAGAAATAATGTCAAAATAAGAGGGAAAATATGCAGGAACTGTTATTTCAGGAAGACGATTTAGCAAATAGTAATGATGATGATAATAATAATGATAAAAGTAATACATGTAATAATATTTTTTGACCCGGGTAAGCCTCATCGGCATTAATGAAATTTTTCCTGATGGCCCTGTAAATTTGTTATAATGACCGCACCAATCACCAGAATGATTTACACCTAGATGGAGATCGGTAAATGTGGATTAAATCAAAAGGATGTTATTGGTGTTCGGCCGGGATTTGAACCCTCAATCCTAGGAATGAGAGTCAAGTAAATTATCCACTGTACCTCGGAACCTCTACTCGGTTCCACTCTTACATCAGAGCTCTGTTTCATAAAAATTGTTATCAATAACTTGATAAAACAATTGTAACGAGCTACTAAAAACCTTACATTTGGCAAAGAGCAATTTGTCGTAGATTTATGGCGTGGCAGGTGTTATTGATAGCAGTTTTATGAATCGTGGACCTATGTTTCTAGTGATTGAATACAGCATCAATGTCGTGTTCTTCGAAGGTTGACTATTTAGTAACTCTCCTCTTTTCTTCTATATTGCAGAAGATACAAAGCACGGTGTTTTCATGATCACTAATGTATCAAGGACACAGAGTGGAGACTACCGCTGTCAGGCGACCAATCGCATCGGCCCCAACTTTGGTTACGTGGAATTGGTCGTGCAATGTACGTATATTTGTGTTCATAATTATATTCTTATTTATAATCATATGCGTAGCATGGGCGCACAAAGGATGCACAAGGGGGTTATGCCCAAAGACGTTTAAATATAGGTCATCCACGGAACCTAGGGGTCATGATCTCAAACCTCCCGCAAGTGTTTAGAGTGATTCTGTGATTTTGTGTCACTGCCCCCCCCCCCCCCCCCCCCTCCGTTCAACATGTCGGACTACGCCAGGGATGACTACTAATACTCACTGACCTTATGAGGTATTGCCCAAGTATATTCCTGTTGTACGAGTCGTAGACGAGGGTGATGTGATTACGTAGATGGCAGTACAGCCTCATGTCTTATGGGAAAAGAAGTCATGCACTCAAATATCATTGTCAATATGATAGTCTATTCCCTAGTTGTGGCACCAACAACATCCAATTAACAACAAAGAGGATAAACAGACTTCATATGTTATTTTTGATAATGATAATCTAATTAACCTGTAAAGAGTAAGTATAATTCCCCTATAAATTAAAATCATGCATGTTTCAGTAAATGTAAGTTTATTCTTATATTTAGTATTATTTGCTATAAATTTTGCTGATCATCCGCCTAGGACAAGATATGACTAACTACAATTTTTGTATTAAAGTCAGATTCACAATCCTTCTTCATTTCTCAGAGTTCATAGATGTAGCATGCTTTAGGAACTTTAACTCTTTTTCTTTCAATTTTCTAAAGTTCTTTATTTTCGCTGTTGATATTGTGCAGACGTACCCGAACTGACGGGTCTTCCATCGGACATTCGGGCTGCTCCGGGCGCTTCGGTAACCTTCGGGTGTGACGTCATTGCTAATCCCAAACCCTTCGACTTCTACTGGATGAAAGATGGCTTAAAATTAAGTCAAGATGGCACAAATCCCACACCTAACACGTAAGTCTTTTTATTGTTCATATTTATTCGTTTTGATATCTTAAGAGCCGTTTAACATAAGAGTTACAACCAATGATCGTATATTTTTTCCCAAATTAATCGTACCTCCTTAAATCAGTCGCAACTTTCCAATCATTAATGAATTACGATACATTTATTTTAGAGATAGATGTGCATGCATGGTAAGTTACACTTAATTGCAGCAGTTTAGTTTATTTTATATTCAATAAAAGTTTTTCCTTTATTAATCAAGTAGAATTTCCGTAATATGATTACTATTTCGGATTTCCAAATCCTGAATAATTTTCCCCCAAAATGATGTAGTGATATTTGAACCATTCGAGTTTCAGGAGTAAATGATAGAATATCAATCGAGTACAATAGACAAATCGTTGTATTTTCTTTAAAAGAATACACGTTCTAGATCACCCGATTCTGAGGTTATTTATTGGTTAGACTACTCTTGGGATTTCTAAATGCAAACGTACGTTATAGATGAACAGAAAAGGTGTGATATTCTAGCCTGCACGAATGAGTATGTGTCGTGTTCGTCTTTAATATATTTAAAGCTATCTTCATGCACCCTGGCTGCGTCACCGCACCATAAGCAACTTATCATCTGCATCTGTATTGCTTGTTTCCCAACAGCATTTGGCATGTTACTAATTAAATTTCATCGCATTTCGTGCATTGTTATGTGATTATATTCCGGATAGATTATTTGTGATCCGTTACCTCAAGCATTTTGACCAGCATCTTGGCGATATTTGATATGCATGATATAATTATATGTAATGCACTTTATATTCGTCTACATTACTTGTCGTTTATAATTATTCTATTGACAGTAGGACGAATTAACATTTGACACATAACTGCATTACTTTTAAAAATGTGCAGATTAATCCATCATATATTCATTTATTTATTCATTTATTATAGTTTCATTTCAACAGGGTGGTCTCATTTCAAGTCCATTTCTGGACCTGCTCCTCCAGAGAGCCCTGCATTCACATACAAAAAAAACATGTAAAATAAAAACATGAGTTCAAAACATATTCCTCCCAATAAGATATGCAATGAAGTTTAATAGTCAAATAGTTTTTTGTTTTTTTAAAGCACGTTAAATGATGAATTCATATTAACTTTGAAGTTATTATCACTGCTATTCCTTAGCATATTTTGTATTAGCTTTTATTTATACCGCAAGAGCTAAAGAATTACACACTGATGAAAATTCGCAAACAAAGTACAATAGCCTTTTGGTCAACTGGAAATCATTTATTCACCTATTTATTTCAAAAAGCGGGAAGAAATACTGGGCGGGTTTTGTTATTAAAAATAATAGTTCTTCGTCATTCCAATCACATCCACTGTCGTGAAAGAAAATACTATCCCGAATTCCCGTGATAGCGCTGAGCCAAACTATCTATACATAAATTTTGAGCATCTTGGTGTAGGTTCGGCGCACTATATGGAGCATATTTTGATGTTGTATTCTTATCAGACATATAGTAACAGGAGCCAGATATTGGCAATCGGAAAGGGAGTTGGCCAAACTCTGTGAATAGATAGATGGCTTTGGAGCTGAATAAAACTTTAAAGCATGATCATTATGGTTTTGTAAATGCATGTTTTGCACGTTCACAGGGGATGTAAATGTTTCATGCATTATTAATGCACGTCTTCATTTGATTATTGTTCGAAAATTCTTGTTTTAATTTGTACAATGCATATGTGGCATGCACGTTATGCATGGGCTACTCAATCGCTTTCCTTCCTTATTGCGGGAATGCAGTCTTTACAACCAGTGGTCAGGCGATAGTGTATTCAGGAAAGCTGGTTTTCAAATTACAAATTGTATGGTTACCAAAATGTAATAGGTGTACAAGTGCTTAAAACAGAATCTGTAATATATTCTTTTCTGCGGTTTCCAATAGCTAGCACTTTCAACCTTTTAGTATAAGTTGTAATGAAATGTAATTATTTTGGTTTTAAAGATCATTCGATTATCAATTTTCGATGTCAAAAAACCCTTTGAAATTCAATTTGTAAAATATTATGGGTGCAGTTCTGTTAAAAATACACTTCAAATCCGATTGGTCTATTAATAGGGCTCTTCTTAGGCAGGGACTGCGGTTGGAGTGACCAGCGGTCAATAAGAATCCGTTGGTATCAGAACTGGTTATTGTTCGAAATTAATTAAGAATGAAAACATCGAATCATAGTTTAATTATAATTATTTTCCATTATTGTGTTGTCATCATAACAACCAATCATAGTACAGTCTGTAAGCCATTCATATGAAACGTAATCCACAGTTCTGGTGATGACGAAAGGTCATTTTTATTAAATAATATTTGTGTGTAAAGTCATGTTGATAAACAAAGCAAGCTTTAAAAGGCTAGGGCAGATTAATGAGCACATGAAGATGAAGAGTAATGGGATATTAATTGAAAATCTGTCTCGCAGCCATAAGGTTGAATCGTAAAATTTGTTTCACAGATTTAAAAAAAAGCTTCTTCTAAGAGCACTTAACAAGAGTATAACATATTGAGCCAGTGGGGAAACGAACAAATAATAATCACAAAATTGCTTACTTATAAAAGGGAATATATACCTATTGCAATATCTGGACATGATTTATATTGGAAATGCAATAGACTATTAAAATCGTAATCAAGATAATTTTTTGAAAGTGTTCGCGATTTTGCTTAATGCAAATTTAAGGCAATATGCCCTACTTTCTGTAAAAGGTTTCTGGTTAAAGAACGCATATAAAAAAAAAAAACGCAAATCTCTTCTTATGTGTTAGGAAATTGTCATTACTAATGCGATCTTAAATATTTTCGAACAAAATTCATTTCCATCTCCAGAGCTAACGATTTACTATCTAGTTGGCGCTTGCGTTTTATGTATTCACTCACCATTAAACCCTGTGCATCTGACATATGCTCCTGCGACAGTTGCTCCGGGCTTTAGTTCATCACAAGTCCAGGGTTAGGGTTCCAATCGGGGTTTAGGAATATGTTTAAGGTTAGGATATGATGAGGTTTAGTGCTGAGTACGATGAGTCATAAGGAGACGCGATATCTCGTGGTAGAGCAGTGGTCTCGTAACGACGTAACCGAGAGGTCCGAAGTTCGAAACCCACTCGATGCACTATTGCCCTTTGCTAAGGCATCGACAATCATTACCAATTGCATTGGTGAGGACTAAAAGCCATCGTTCCCCTAATTGCTTTACTTACAAATATACGTATGCTTTCTTAGCTGTCAGGTTAAACAAACCAACCAGAACAAAGTTTGGAGTTTGGTTAATAATGATAATAATAGCTAGTTCTTATATAGCGCTTTTCAGGACCGAAGGCCCTCTCAAAACGCTTTACAGATAAATATATTATTACCCCGGTCATCGGATTCAGGCTTGCACGCACACAATGTATGCACATTCTCCACTCCCTGGGGAGCATTCCAGCCAGGCTTCATTTTTACAAGCGCAGGAAATTACCGAGGAGCAATTTTTGCTGGAGCATGTGTCACAAGACCTATTTCACCCCTCACATGAATAATTCATGCTGTCATTTGTTGTTTTTGTTTTATGTACTAACATCATCAGGATCTCCCTTACGTGTTTCTCGAATTTCACTAGGCAAGTTTGATTTCTGTTGTTGTATTCACTGCGGAGATGCCTTTCTCATTTAAGCATGGCAATCCTTTTCGTTCTTCTAATTTTTGACGTAGTGCTTCTTCCACAAGTCAGAAGTAATGCATTTAAGATATTTTAAAACAAGAAATCGTTTGAAAAAGTCCAAATCTTCGTGAGAGCTCCTCTATTACCATAAATCTGAATGTGATATTCTTGTATAAACAATTGATGCCGAGGAAATATGACTCCCTGATTATGTTTACATTCAAGTTCGTGAAAAGGTATAACCCGATATTCTCACCTGATTGTGTTTGTACTATAATGTCTTGCTGTCTCTTTACCACGTCCCCCCTCTCTCTCCCCCCTCTCCTCTCTCTCTTTCTCTCTCTCTCTCTCTCTCTACCTTTTTCCTCTCTCTTCTTCTTACTTTTGTTCTCCTTCTTCTTTGTCTTTGTCTATTTCTTCTTCTTCTTCTTCTTCTTCTTCTTCTTCTTCTTCTTCTGCCTCTTCTTCTTTTTCATTCTTCTTCTTACTTCTGTTCTCCTCGTTATTGTTGTTCTGTTTCTTTTTCTTCTTCCTTCCTTCCCCTCGTCAAAACCCTTTTTACCCTTCATTTTCTCTCCGTTTATACTTTTGATATATAATCATTATAAGTATTCATCGAACATGATTTTCATTGTCTCTTATTCATCTTATTCAATTGCTATATGCAAAATATGGTATGCATTTAGTGCATGAATGGTCCGCCTCACAGTAAATTAATTTATACACTCATTACAGTTCAATCATTTACCCCTCATTGCATGGTCATTTAGCACTTGTTAATAGAACATGTAGTAAAACGTGAATTTAAATATAGATTGTCAAATGTAATTTTCTCTGTTTTTCAGCTCCATTGCACGAGTTCCCCTTAGGATCAAACCTTACATCTAGTGGCTATGTCAGGCATGCATCTGCATGATTCGTTTATACATTTATAAAAAGACATAAAACTGCTTGGCTTCATACCGCCATGCTTTAGTCAATGTGTGCACAAATCTGTAAAAAGTTATTAATCATGATATCTACACTTCTAAGTTTGTATTATATTTAAACGTGTAGATTTGTTTTATGGTATTGTACCCACCATTAAAACTGATAAATGCATGATGAATTTCGCAGATGTATTTAGACCTTTGCGCTTTGTTCCCCATATATATATTATTATTTTTCAGCTTTGCGGTTGGCTCCTACCGGTCATTAATTATAAATACATTTTGTGTAATTGCTATGTGTTATCTATTCAATTAACTTTGTATTCCATAAATTCTATGTAAACATCAGGTGAGAAACAAATAGTAATGTAAAAATAGTAATGTTTTCTTACATAAACTGGCTTGTGTACCAAGATTATAATGATAAATACGGTATACAGCCCACCTGAAAAACGGGTGTCGCTTAATAGGCATTGTTTGCTATATAGAGGGCGCGAGTAGCTACAAGTAATGCAGTCCCGCTTAAGTTAAGTACCCTTTTGGAGTTATATATAATTCGTGAGAAATATGAATATGTATTACAATTTTCATACTGTGACGATAATGACTTTAGTTTACATGTCTACTATATGTTAGCCAGTTTTACTGGAGACAGAGTACCCAGGGTAACTTAGGGCTTTGATTCCTATCCGAGGGACTACTATGGACTATAACTTGGTTTCAACGCCGAACACTAGACCACTTGTTTAGCACTGAACTATCAACATTTTCATAGGAATATATCCTTTAGAAAGAAATAAGCTTCTACCAACCTTCAAATGAAGCAGCAAGCTTCCATTCACTTTGTGGACTTTCCTCAAACCACGTAACTCTGTATATATTTTCTTGCTGTCTGCTGCTTAGAGAGTACTGAAGCGAAGATAAATTATGTGACATGGTGTACCCAAGATTTCTTACCTTACATTCGTTCCAATCATTGGCTTTTTGAGTGCAGGTTTTTAGTCAAAAAAGGGAATGTCGTCGCACCTATCACACTCGTCATTCCCCTGGGTCTGGTTCTTATAACCCTTAATAATAAAAGAGGTGTCGTAGTCGAGCGGCTTAAAGATAAAGGTGAGTTCTGGTTTTTTAAAAAAAGAAAAGGAATTCTCACAGAATCAAACGAAAATTACACTGAATGTTCAAGATTACAAATAAATGTCATTTGCCAAACAATTGTGGTAGAACTTGATTAGGAAATCAAGGTCAGTAGCCCCGACACCATTTGTGTAGTCCCATATACATCTTTCTGTGTACAGTGCTTGTTACTTTACCAAGACTGGGCCAAATTTATTATGATTTTGGTGACTCCAGAACTTTGCAGTACACACCAATATTTGCATGCTACATGATCATCTTTTCTGATCCATTCTACACCTTTTCTTTCACAACGCAATCGGATGACCAGAACTCACCTTTATCTTTAAGCACTTGACTTGAAATTCATAGGTATTTGGTTCGATTCATGACACGGTTCATGCAAGGCATTAATCTACATTTTCCACACCATACTCAGAAGGGAATTGGGGACCTGGTATGATGACGTAAGTCTTTGTGATAGAGATTGGCATATACCCTCATGGTGACCAGCATAATAGTAGTAGTAAGAATACTCCTCTCGAGTGGAGGCGGTGCATACGGTGTGCGTGAATGAATCTGATGACCGGGGTAATAACAATATCTGCAAAGCGTTTAAAGACGGTATTCCGTATTAAACGCTATATAAATCCAGGTTTACTATTAACATTAAAGTTCTCCATATCCCTGCAGGTTTGTTATTCTCAAGCTTGACCCAAAGACGGACTATGGTAATTACACCTGTGTGGTGACAAATCAAGTTGGTATTTCTTCAGCCACGGTAGAAGTAAGCGGTGAGTGGTGTCTCGTTTGCTGTTTTAAAATGCAATATTGAATATGTATTCTACTAATTCAAATAACTGTTTTTCAATCCAAGTTTTTAAGTTCTATCTTTGACATAAAATTCCAAGAGTCTTTACATTTGAGAAATAGTATAGCTACATAACCCAATATATTTGCAGCACCCCCAGAGAAGGGGTGCAAATCTGAACCCTAACGGCAAGAATTCATCAAATAAGTGTCAAGGTTTACGGACAGCTATCGTTTAAACCATACAGTAACAAATTATGTTTCCAGAAGTTATTTCACTCTAGTGTTTAGATTGTTTTAAATAGAATTGACATGTAACGTATATTATATAAATGGTATTTTTAATCATGTTTTTTTTTTATACTTAACATACATACTATATTTTTTAACGAATGTATCATTTCGAGTAAAATCATGTAAATAGTATTACATCAAACTTACATAAGTGTGACTTTATCGAACACCAACAAGAATCGATCATGGAAATGAGAAATCGAGATTGTTTAAATTCCTTTGGTTTCCCCGGCAGGACGCCCCCTGGCACCGGTGATAATGAACAGTGATCCACAGGGCATCTATCGACACACGTACAATCTTACATGGTCTCCTGTTTCGAAGAGAGAAAACAGCAGCCGAATCATCAACATCCCTGTTGCTCGGTATATCATCAAGTACCAAAGAAAAGACATACAGGTGAGATTTATAGACATTAAAAGGATGATAACATAATGTGTGGGCGGTTGTGCGTGTGCGTGAATGTGGGGGTGCGCGTGTATAAGTGTATATAATAATTGTACCAGCAATGAATATGCATAATAATAATTTTGTAAGCAAGTATAACGACGCGTAGCTCCATCAAAATTATTAAAATATATATATATATGCAGCGAGAGAAAGAGAGAGAGAGACAGAGAGAGAGAGAAGGGGGGGGGGAATCGGGAATCCAGCTGACGAAAAATATTGAGAAAAGTGAAAAATAAATAATCAGATGAAAACAAAATTTGTGTCAATCTTTTCATTTTACATCTAGTTAACATGAAGAGTAATGATATCCTTGTAGGCCTATAAATGATTATAATCATGATCACTAATGTCGAATGTTTATGTATTATGTATCATTATAACCATCAACAACACATTAGTACGGTCCTTTAAAAAATCGTACTATCAAATAAAATTTGTCTTATCTATTATAGTTAATACCGGTATTTCATGTATTTCCACTATAATCTTAAAGCCCGTCTGCACTAGTTTGGTCATGGGAGATTAGATCACCCTGCAAGTTCATTGATAGGTGGTTATCTCATAAACTCAGCTCTCAATTAACATAAGAAAAAGGGGATAATGGGTGACCAACAGGCACCGATTAGGCATTGTTTGCTATATAGAGGGCGCAAGTAGCTATAAGTCGTGCAGTGGGGCTTTAACTCTTTTATTTTTGTATTTTTCAGAATAGAATGGGCACTATGGTGACCGTCCTGTGGCCCAACGAAGCCTTATCGGAGACAGTCCAGGGTATACAAGAATACCTTATGCTACGAGATCTGAAGGAGAACAGCTCCTACGTGGGACGCGTGTGTCCAGAGAGCGACTACGGAAGGGGTGACTGTGTGTCCTACACATTCACAACATCTGCAGGTAACATCTGTGACATTTTGTATGGTTAGCCATAAAGGGCATTATTACATTATTAGAGGTGCTTTCTTGGCTAGTATGGCTGGCTGTGTTGGACACCAACGTTAAATAGAAGTACATAATGGTAAAATTATAACTACAGTTAAGTCACACCAACTGGTCGGGAGCCGTAACTAGCTGGCAGAACACCTTTATCTGCCCCCCCCCCCTCCTCCAGACGGTGAGGGCTCTCATGATTGTCACTTCATGTGGGACAAAACTGTTTAGTCCCCTCATAGCAGTCTGAGAAATATACACTTTTTAAGATAAATGAGCATTGGCCGAACAACTTATGTTTAGAATCTTAATCTGAATAGTTTTAACAATATCTGTTACCCTTTTTGTGCATTTCTTCCTACCTTGCAGTTGACTTCCAACCCCCACCTTCCCCTGAAATTGGATATTCAGGCAAATGCTCGAGTAAGTATCATACTCTTTACGTGTAATATATCAAATTCATCTCCTTTCTCTCCCCCCCCCTCTTTATTTCTCTCTCTTTCTGTGTCTGTCAATGACTTTCCTTGTTTACGATGTTAAACAATTAATCTTAAAGTTTACGATTCAGTCTATCCGTTCCCTTAATTACACTATGCAGTCTCGTTCTTTGAAAAATATCTGTATTGAAATATCAATACAGCTCAATATATAAAAACATTTATACATTTGAATAAACTATACATGAGGCGCACATGGGATGCACGGCGAGACCCCCCCCCCCCCCATGCAGTAGGTTAGATTCTCATGTATTTTTCGTTTTTTGTTAAAGCATGTTAGAGAACTGTTTTAATTCCAAAAGGCTAAATCCATTTTTTGTAACTTCGGAGAAGAAAAAAATTGTTCACCAGATTATGTACAGGCGTCTATGGAAAAATGTTATTAAAAAGTGCATTTTTTCATAATTGCTCCCAAAAGTAAGGTAAATACTTATGTTGAAATACTTTTGTTGAAAGACGGGTACATAAAATGAATATTGTTCTGATATCAATAACTCAATTTTCATCAAAAGTGGATTTAGCTCCTTTTGGAATTAAACTCTTCAAATAGAGAATTAAACACATCCCAATAAAGTCTTTCATTATAATTTCATTATAAGGTATTTGCCTAATCATTGTTCCTGACAGAACGTTGATGGTAGAACAATGACACCGTCGATCCTATGAAAAACGTTTTAATACACAACATGTTCTTCGTATGTTTTTGTTCGGGGTGGGGGAGGGCTTACGTAGAAATACATTCTACTATCAATATACATGAATATATGGATATAGTTTTATTAACATTATCACAATCACTGAATTAGTGATAATGTAAATTATTATTGTTGTTACTAGTGGTAATAATTGCAATTGATATCATTAGGATTCACCGTTATTCGGCAGAGTTAAGATTAGGCACTTCAGAGGCATAGGAGGTCAAATTAATGACCCAAAAGTCGATCTTTACTCAAAATTATCCCTTTGTGTACCTCAATAATTTATTTTTCTGCAGATCCTAGTATGTGCGTTGGCACGTGGACACCGCCCTCATCGAGTGCCGAGCGGCATTCAACGGTTGCCATGGTGACATTTACAGCGGGCATCATGTCGTGGTTACTGACGTAATAGTCATCGGTCCTTAACTTTTAATGGACTCAGTACTGATGTGATGTGCCGTTCTGATGTTAGAAATTAGTGAAATGTCCGTTATTGAGGGACAATAAATGTCCTCTATTAAAGGGAAGAGTTTTGCATACGGGAATATACGCCTGACCATCGAGCCGTGCTGCTTGTCGAAGGGCTGCATCGAGACTATCTAGCCCTGTTTGATTTGTCCAATTTGACTTGGGTCACCTTTTTTAAACATTTAAAATTCAAAATAACTTAAAGGTCTTGTTTTATATTTTTAGAAAACTACAAATATCGCAGATCGCGGTCACAAATGTTCGGGGTTTAATTACCAGAGCTTACGTGTTTTTAATTAGTAATAGGAAATAAAATTCTTGGTAGTAACACAGGGGACAGAAATTTTTTAAACACAGTCATGTTCACTCATGTAGAACTTTTCTCTTTAATTAAAGACATCCATTATCCCTTAATAATGGCCGTCTACCTAACGTGTTCAAAAAGGGGAAAAAAAGGATGCCTTTAAAATGAGGGATTGTACCTCCCAACTTAATTTTGAAAATCTTCTCTAGTCTACGGTGATTTGGAGTCACTTCTTTCCTTACTTTTTTAAATCATAATTTGGAGTGGCAATTCCTGAAAAGGCGTTGGCCCAAGCGAAAGTGTCGACAAATTTAATTCAGGTATAAGTTAATTATTTTGCCGACAGACTGTTTTCCCTACAAAATCTGATCAAATCGATAATGCGAAAGGGGCTCTGCCCTTCCCCTCTTTTTTTTTTTTACGCATTCGCTGTAAAAATATCGGTATACATGTTCTTCATTACGAAATTGGAATATATACTAGCAAATTTGTCAGTCGCAATATATTTCATGTTTCTTTACAATGACGCATGCTGAACTCAACGGCGATGAAATACTATGATGATTATGTTACTTTGTTCTACACTCAACCCAGGTGATGTAAATGGATACCTGGCAGGAATTAATTCCTTGAAATGCTAGAGCGCCGTAATGGCAGCCATGCTAAAGCCAGGGTAATAATCGGGAGCGCCAGGAGTGTCAAGTCCAGGCGCGGATCCAGGATTTCTTAGGGGAGGGGGCCCAACTTTTTTTTTTTTTGCTCCCGAAAATTTGAAAATCGCGCCGGCCGAAAAGTCGCTCAGTGGGGGGGGGGGGGGGGGGGGGGGGGGGGGGGGGGGGTTTGGGGTGGGGGGGTACAGAGCACAATTTTTTTTTTTTTTTTTTTTGCTCCCGAAAATTTGAAAAAAACGCGCCGGCCAAAAATTCGCTCAGTGGGGGGGGGGGGGGGGGGGGGGGGGGGGGGGGTGTAGTGAGCACATTTTTTTTTTTTTTGATCCTCAAAAAAAAATTCAATTTGCACCCCCCCAAAAAGGTAAAAATCACGTGATTTTACATGATTTTTTTTCTCAAGGGGGGGGGGGGGCCCGGGCCCCCCCCCTGGATCCGCCACTGGTCAAGCCTGACAGACATGGGCGCTATACAAGAACCCTCTATCATTATTATTATTATTACACATTGAACTAAAACGTAGCATAATGTAGTTGTTTATTTTTTTGATATCAGTGAAATCGTTTCCTATTCAGTCAAATACTTATTTAACATTTAATTATTCAATTTTCTGGTTGCATCACCAAATTAATGTGGAAAACAACTTTTCCCATTTAAGTACGTGTAGAAAAATCTTAACTAAATGTACATGCAGCCTACGAATAATATTATTGTATGTCATCTGCCTTAGAAGTTTAATATTACTGTATATAGTATTACTGTACAGATGCCATATATGCAAAAAAAGATGTAATGTGTATTATTAAATGTACTAAAATTCCTAAATATTATGGTTTGTACATATTACGTATATATACATGGTAAGTAGAATTTTCATACAAAATATTATGTATAATTACAGTTTTGTGGTTCGTGAATTATTTTATGAAAGAATCTTTTTCAGCCAGATATTTGACATGGCTACAATGAAAAGCATTTTTGTTCAATGTTTGGGCTTTTAACCGTGTGTAAATAAATAAAAATGAATAAAATATATAACTACAGCAAAACTGGCAACCTTTTAAGAACATTCTCATTTTAATTTGGAATTTAAAGGGCAGTCCAACCCTGGTAATAAGGTAATTTGTATGAAATCAGAAAAATAATGGCGAAAGTTTAAACTAAATCAGGCCAAGTTTAAGAAAGTCATTAATGTTTCAATACGAGATCGCTAGGTCTCTTCGAATCTCAAATTGGCAATTTGGTCAGTGGATTGTGACGTAGTCGCGGATAACTCACCGGGTTGTTGTGTACAAACATATTATCAATTTATGTTTTTCTCCTGAGTGCCTTCTACCTTGATTGGGGCACTATTCAAAATATATTATGGATATCAGATTATAACAGGTCCCCTGAAGAGGAAGACCTTCCTGAAAAATACATTTTTGAAAAATGGAGAAAAAAAATTGTCACTGTGTGTTGGAAAAAAATAAGAAGGTTGTCCGCCGCTACGTCACAGAGGCAATACCGATAGTCCGATACAACGGGTTTTTTTTTTTACAAAAACAAAACTACTATGGTGTTTCACATAGTTTATTCAATTTAGCCTTTGTCTCTGCCAGAGTCTTTTCCAATCTGATTCGCTCGAGTTCTTGCAATCTAGATACGTCACTCTTCAACTTAACAATAGCTTCCTTACTCTTCTCCGCATCTCTCTCACTTTTCCTGAGTGCCTTTTGTTCCCTTTCTAATTCCTTAAGCTTTGATCTCAAGCTGGATCCAACGTTTCTCGGTTGCTTCATCGGTTTAGGACGCGGCATCTGGGATCCCATGCTGCCATCTATCGTCATTGCTGAAGGAGTTTTCTTCCCCTTTTTGAGGGAGGGTTCGCCGGAAGTACATCCTGGGTCAATGATTCCGTTTTGATGCAGCTCTTTTTGCCTGCAATTAATAGATAGAATGCATATCGATCGTAAGAACAATGCGTAATGTGGGAGTCTGAAGAAGAAGAAGTAGTAGTAATGTAGTAGTAGTATTCCTGTTATTATTGTTATTTGTATTATCATCAATATTATTATAATCATTATTAACATTATTAATATTATTATCTAATTATTATCAATATCATTATTAATTTCACCACTAGCACTTGACGTTGAAATGGAATGCAACAGAATCCAATCTGAGAACTGTCTTCGCCCACCCAACCCCCTTACGCACACACACACACCCAAAATGGATTTTTGGGGAATTAAATTCATTTAACAGCGTCGTTTGTTTTTTTAATTTTTATTTATATTTATCACCATCAATCGATGAACAAAAATCAACTGCCCCTATCTTTAATTCGTAATGATTGATCTTTGGTATTCACGTTTTACTTTTCTCTCTGTTTTGTTTGCTTAAAAATATTGCTTTTTGACATAGATCTCTATGGCATTAAGCCGCCAGCTATATAACCCTTCACTTCTCATACACATGTAAGATACATGTCGGGTTACGTGTGATGGCTCATTAATTCTCTCCGATTGGTCAAACTCTCTCCTATCCAAAAATGTAATTCTTTCTCAGGAATACTGTAAAACTACTAATCGTTCTCATCGATACTTATGGCACTAAATGCTAGCCATACCGCCGATAGGCCTACCCCAATATGTAACTAGGGCTACACGCTCCACACCGTATTGCCAAGAAGGTTTCAATAACTTACTTCATTTTGTTTAACTATCTTTTATTTTAAAAAAAGCTTGTGATTTTTTCCTCTTCGATGTTTCCGACTTCAAATGCCTGTACTACAGGTATTATGCAAGAACGTGCACCTTAAAAGTAGGAATATTATTTTCTCTGTCTACCACGCCATATGACTTCAAGAAGTTTTCAAAAAACAATTTCGAAAGTTTTTAATTAACTTCTTTCTCGCTATTTTTTAAGAAAAAAAAAACTTCCTGAAATTATATTTCGAGGACTTTGTTGTAGTATGAACGCGGCTATGAACTTTGGATTGACCCTTTCAACCCTCAGTTCGCCTTGCGCAAATATTGACTGATTTTAATGGCATGGTTTAGACTATGACCCTTTCCCTGATCTGGAGATTTCGCTATGCTAATACAGACAAAGTGCATAGTACAATATCGAGATCACAATGTAAATAGTTATATAGTCTCAACCGTGTTTAACAATAGTAAAAATTGGAGTTCTGTATGCGTATATATGCAGCGTATATACCAGCTAGAACACGTAGTTCTACCAGGCTCGAAGCAAAATTCTCTCCGATAGAGGATGGGTCGAATTGTCGAATGAAATTTTCATCAGAACCATATTTTCACGTTTTAAAAATGCCACAAAATATCAAAAAATAAATGCAATATATTTTAATTCTATGCAAAAGCAATCAGCCCTAGTTCAGTTCAGTTTGATTTTTCATTTCAAACAGAACAGTAATTTTGAAAGGAAATCAGATATACAATTCATCATTGAACAATATAATACATTTTACATGGTTTAAAGTTTTGAAATAGAAAATATACATAAATATCCAGTATAATGTGTTTTGGAAGTTTATTTCAAATCTCCTTTACATATTGCCCCCCCCCCTCATCTGATGTGGGAACGTCACAAGGGCAATGCCTGCATGTAACGTAAAGTACGAGGAACAAGAGGGCAATTATAAACATGATGGCAGCTACTTTCTAAAAGTCAACTCAACGGCAATTTCAAATGCCTATCTAATGCCCCACAAAAATCATCATAATAGATTACGTAATACGTTCTGAAATTGCGTCAGGTTGATTTTTAGAAACTAGTTGCTATCGTCTTATTAATAGCTCGGAAGAAATTGCTTCATCCACAAATACATTTTTTGAAAGCTTAAACATTCGTAATACATATTTATTAGATCAGTTTTAAGGTAAATTTAAGCAGTGTCGCTTTCTGGACTTTCAAAATTCAACTGTAAATGTATTTTATGTTTGAAATATGCAATGAGTCTTTTAATCGTACACATGACCAATTCAGCAATTGGGCTGCGACAGATGTTTTTAATAAACCTTGAATTGAATTATATTGAATTGAATTATATTGAATTGAATTGAACCTACGGTATGATAAATTCAGGAGCCTTGTGCGTCACCTATCCAAATGTAGAAACATGACAATAACATATTACGTAATCTGAACATGATTTCTATAGCATTCCATTAGTTTATTGAATTGAAATTGGCCTCAAATTTATTTCTTGAAAGTCTAAACGATCGAATTATTTTTGTGTATACATTAGGAATAGTGAAATTGCATCCTTTGCAGATCAGAAAAAGGAATTTTAAGCAGAGCCTGAATAAATACAAAATGTAGATGTTGTAGGTCATACTGCAGTTTTACAATCTTA